CTTGTGGTGGTGTCTGAGCCGTTGAAGAAGTGAAGTTGTCTATCAAGCTCGATTGCTTCTCGAGCTCTCTCATTCGGTACTTCAACTTGTTTGTCCAGTGGATTGCTTCTAATTGTACGCGATTGGCCTCAGGCGTTAAGAAGGTGTCCAGCTCATTCATCAACTTTTCACCCTCTGATTGGTCTTTCCTGGCGCCGATGAAGTTTATAGCATTTTGTACGTGGACTTCCAGGTTTTCTAGCAGACCCGTGAGAGAAATCTGTATTTCGTCAATTTCTGCCATTTTGTCGGCTATGAAGGCATTGCATTCAGTCGCTGTAGTAGGAAATTCAAATGCCTTGTCTATACTCAGAATCTTGCTTTCGAGGCTGTTGATCGAAGAGCAGGCCATTGAAATGCGCGTCTTAAATCCAGCCAACATCGACATAGTTTGTCTTGTTCGCATGAACTGAATGCTGATTAAGAGCTTGAAGTAGCTTCTTTTGCTGAGCTATGGATTGACCTGATAGCTAGCAGCAAGCTTTGATTTGACTGTTGTTGGTCAACCGTCAAGGAGCTTGTGAGGTTCGTCTGCTAACTGGGATTGACCAGGCAGCTAGTTTGACCTCTTTACTAAGCTGTGGATTGGACCAGACAGCTCAATAAGATGACTCTTGTACGTGAAAGTGGTGAACCAGCAATCACAGAGTCCTTTTTTGACTTTAGGAAAGCCAAAAGTGTTCGAGGAGTTCTTTTGCTAACTGTGGTGGACCAGTCAGTCAGCTAGAAACCTCTTTGCTAAGCTATGGATATGACCTGATAGCTTAACAATTTGACTCTTGTATGTGAAAGTAGTGAACCAGCAATCACAGAGTCCTTTTTTGACTTTAGGAAAGCCAAAAGTGTTCGAGGAGTTCTTTTGCTAACTGTGGTGGACCAGTCAGTCAGCTAGAAACCTCTTTGCTAAGCTATGGATATGACCTGATAGCTTAACAATTTGACTCTTGTATGTGAAAGTGGTGAACCAGCAATCACAGAGTCCTTTTTTGACTTTAGGAAAGCCAAAAGTGTTCGAGGAGTTCTTTTGCTAACTGTGGTGAACCAGTCAGTTAGTTAGAAAACCTCTGCTAAGCTATGGATACGACCTGATAGCTTAGCAAGACCCGAGTTAGTGAAAGTGGTGAACCAGCAATCACTTGGGTCGAATATGGCCAATTAGTAGCCGAAAGGTGCGAGGAGTCTGTTTGCTAACTGTAGTGGACCAGTCAGTTAGCTAGAAACCTCTACTAAGCTGTGGATAGGACCTGACAGCTCAGTAAGACTCTTGTTCGCGAGAGTGGTGGACCAACAATCACGAGAGTCGAATATCGGCTGTTAGTAGCCTGGAGTGCGAGGAGTCTGTCGCTAACTGTGAATGAACCAGTCAGTTAGCTAGAAACCTCTACTAAGCTGTGGATAAGACCTGACAGCTTAGTAAGACTCTTGGTCGCGAAAGTGGATGAACCAGCAATCACGAGAGTCGAATAATCGGCTGTTAGTAGCCTGCCACGCGGGACTTTTATCGAATTTCGGTGAGCAGCACCGAAGAGACGATCCGTTGGCCGATGCACCAATTTGGTATACACCAAGCTGGTACCACAACGGGTATAACTGTTTATTAGATAGTAGCGGAGCAGCCGCTGACTATTAACAGTGAATATGCGGAACAGCCGCTGACGATAGTGGTATTAATCGAACCAACACCAGAACTGAGTATTCAGGCCCTTTTATGCCACTATTTTGGGCGTGGATAACCTGAATGCTCACTTCTGGCAAATAACAGTATCATACAGAATCAAGGATTGCCTACATGAAAGTAGGCGCCGCCAAGTAGACTATCAAGCACAGTGGAGGGGTGACCTGGCGGCTTAAGTGGTCCGTGAACAGTAATGTCTGTCAACGACAAGCTAGTGGATACTGAATATAGCATACAATATGAATCTACAATGGTAAAGGTCGTAGATTCGCAAATAATCTACGACATTGCTTTTACTCATACGTATCTCAAACAACATCTAAAGAAGCAAAGCTTTGCGATATGAGCACTCTAATGTCCTCGTGATCCAACTCTGTTCTCCTCGCAGTGTGAAGGCTCATCCATGCTTCGCTTTCACTACATACTTCCCAAAACGTCGCAGTTCAGCCCAGGTCTAGCTGATCAACGGAGCTTGAAGCAGTTTGGTCAAACATATGACAGCGGAGCTCCAAATCGTCAGTTGTTTGACTCCTTTCAAGGTCTCGAAAAAGGCCCAAGCAGATATTAATCTGTTCTTGAGTCCATTGTGCAAGTTGATCTCTCGAGTGTCCTAGGCACATGTAGGAAATGCCATAGTGATAGAAGTGCCATCTAAATCTGTTTCGGTATCTTTCCAAAGGACATTCCTTACGACTTGTTTACTCCCCTGATTGATGTAGTCCGATCTTCTTCTCTCCTTCGTTCAGTCTTTTCTCTATTGATACTCTTCGTAAGAATGATATCGTCCGTGATATCTTCCGGGGTCACTTGACTGTCGCACGTCCTTCCTTGCTGGTATCCTGCACGGTAGCAGCAGCGGATTTACAATGCGGAGGTGAGAAGGTTCTATCGCGATGGAGATTAGCTTGTCATCCATCCATCTATCGTCCAGGTTCAAAAACGCATGAGATTCTATCTTCGCGATAGGCCATATCCTACCAATTCAAGTTTTTACCTCTTCTCATCAACTGCTAACCTCTAAAATCAGCAGCTGATGAAGCAGAGTTGTATGGCATTGGTAAGATTTGTAAGGGTGAATGTTCATAATGTGTAGCTCTTCCGCAAGCAGTTGCTAGTCAACCTCACGGGAATCGAGACGATTAGAAAAAGTATCATAGGAAGGATTGGATAGCTCTGAAATAAAAGTGGCAATAATCTTGTGCTGACTCTCAGCAAATTTTGTTGAGCGATTTAATTCATTCTGAACAAAAACGAAGACATCGGCTACTTGTTCAGTGCCATTGGGCTGATGTTTGAACCTGATATCTCTCGTTTCTCTGGAACAATCTTCTCTTTCCCTTATATCGTAGATTAACGTAACTTTTTAGTGTATAAAAAATTTGGGGTTATTTTGACGAGTCACCCATTTTATAAGGGAAGGATGGCAACATAAGTTGGCGATTGAGAACGAGGTGTATATCACTAAACGCGACTCGAAACGCTAAATCCAAATCTGCTTTCTTTTTTTTACGGAACAACTTATCGACAGAATTTATGAGCGTTTGAATGTCCAGTATTTTCAAGCTTTAAATGGCCGAAAATTAGCGAAAACCTGTACAAAAGCACCTGACAGTGGGTGGTCAGTTTCGCAACAAGTACATTGTCTGCAAGTGCTGTTTTAGAGCTTTTCGTAACTGTTAGCCCACTTAAAGCTCAACGATTTTGGGCATATGATAGCTCATAGCTTCCTTCGGAAAGTTGTCCCATATAAAATGAAGTGGATTTGGAAGCAGCATTCAAAGACTCGTCTAGTGATATACATACTTTCCGAATATGTCTTCAATCGCCAACTTATGTTGGTATCGTTCCCTTGTAAGCATAAAAATCTCGTCTTTACTATGAAATATAGGCTGTCTTGCCCTTTCCATGGGCACCTTATCAAGAGAAAAAGCCGGCTCAGGCTCGAATTCATTACCAGTTTGACTTATCTTATCCTTTTTTTATGTTTCGCTTTTGATTTCCTTCAGCGCTTTTTCCAGCCATTCTTATCAGACAAGGCACGCTCCTGACACGAGGAAGAATTACAGCACTAATGTCTTGAAACATTTTTTGCGAGTGCAGTTACATCTGATTTTTAGAGGAGGCAAGTTAGGGAATGAAATCCCGTGGACTCTGCTCTCGGTTCTTATGATCTCTGGTAGAGATCATAAGAACCGCACGTTGATTTACGTATCACATCGTTGAAAAAGTACTGCCAGGTTTTTCCATGATGAATATAATAGAATGCGAACGAAAGGCGCTGGCTCGGGACGTATCTTGGTTTATTTGCCAACTATGTACCAATTACGCTAATCAATCTGAAAGAGTTACTGTAAGCCATGAAATAATACTTTAACACGTTTCGGACCGGTGCTGCACATGGTGCAGCACGCTGCTTTGAGGGATGTTTCTGGCGTTTGCAGGAGGTTTCCTTTTAATCTAAAGTTGTTAAGTCAAAGGTCTAAGCCCCTACTTTTCAAATGACTCTGTAGAGTTGTGCCGCCGATATTTGTTTAGAAGATATGAGCACAAATCGAACAACAGTTGCAATGAAGTGCGGCGACGCGAACGACGCGTGCGACGTCGCAACTTTCCTTTGCTTCGATTTCGAAGAGAAAAACTGTAGTTTCAATACTAATGTGTACCGTGTACAACATAGATACTTTTGAATACTATTAGAATCTGAGTTCTTGTTCCTATCTTTCAAGAAAGCACAAAAGTCCCTAGCAACAAAATTCAAACACTTCGAATTCACTCAGAATTTTGGATATGGAGCTTATCTGACATGCTGATTACAAATGTGGCCCACAGGCTGCAAAATAAGGTCCCTTTGTAGGCTAACGGCTGAAAGTACACTCTTTTTCGCCGCGCGCGATTTCGCGGTCCGAAACGTGTTAAAGAGGTGCTGCGCATCTTTTAAGCACATTTGGATGGTGATAGACTCGCAGACTTGCGGATACTGTAAAAGCTGTCTATACTCTTACAAATTGCCAGTAGTGAAGTCCAACCACTACCTGCTGCGGTACTAAGAGTCCTTCACCAGGAAACCTCCAAAGAGTTTAGCGTCAAAGGATTTGAGATTTTCAGCGTAATGCCATCAGCAAGATTTTGGAGTTACAGCTCTGTGATATGTTTAATCAATAGTTAATAGTTGTCAGTAAAGATGACCAAGACAAAATCTTTGATTGACAGCCACATCAGGTGAATAACATAGATAAAACGAAATAAAATCTATTGGCAAAGCTTTCCAAACAAACTGTTATCACTCATTACCACAGTACTCCAGCTCTCTGTGCGAGCTCTTTCTAGAATTACTGTTGAATGTATCGACTGATTGATATCTTGCCAGATTTCCTTCCTTGTTCGCCCGCATATTGATGATTTATCTATCAACAAAGCTGATCTATATTCCGCACAATGCGAATAAAACTAGAAGGAAGTTGACAGACAAGCGAAAAGCGAATGTACGGATTGAACAAAGGTGCTACTGAAAACAGGAGGTGAGTTGTTTTTACAATTAGACAGAAACCTGAACAAAGGCCAACTTTTGCTCTGAAATACTATTTCTTGCCTGCGGCGCACTCGCACAGTCTCTCATATATTCCTATGACCAATACTGGATGAAACAGCATAGAGTCTATCTATAATAGATTAGTTTAGCCCGGTGGAGACGAGTCCGCCGCGCAAAGCTTTGCGCCGTATCGCGACGGCAGTTTTAGCATATTTCGATAGTTAGAAAACGTGTTTCTTCTGTTTGATTCCTGACTGACAGAATGCCAAAATTGCGCACTCGCAAAGCCTCCAGCGGGCGGCTGCGTTGCTGTAAAGCTTCATCCTAGCGTAATTGGCACAGACTGCATGTTTATAATAAGATTTTCTCAATTTTCACAATAAACTTACGCATTTGACGAGCAAATGCAGCTTTGATTGTTTGACACTTTTTGGCAAAAGAATATATAGTGCTTTTGCACCATTTGTGGTGCAGGCAAGACCTGACTGCTCTCGCGCTTTTTCCGAGATTGGATAAATGCAAATGACGAACTTCATTGCGGAAAAAAATTTTATTGGTTTTGTGAAAGTGGGAAGACTTTCATGTGCTGCTATTCACCTTTCGACTATTTTCTTCATCGTGATTGTATAGGCGCCGTAAAACTTAATTGCCCGCGCCGTGCCTTGAACACCAGCGTAAGCAAACGGTCGTCGCGAACGACTGTCGGCGTTCACTATATCCCAAAAAATCTTTCTTTAACTTTCATGTTGTTATCGTCAATGCAAGGTATATCTCGACGTAAGCCCCCCTCAAAAGTTTAAAAAAATATGTGTGGAAAGGACGCGCGCTCATTGTCGCTCGAAAAAAGCCTGTAGCGCTTCGGGACCAAATGTTTCCAGCCGCGCCGCGCGTTGGTGTTCAAAGCGACGCGTGGGCAATTGGCTTTTACGGGGCCTGTAAGTTCCATGAGAAAGTAGGACACACATTCGCAATAGCAACTTTGTTTACTACATATTTGCAATTCTAACACATTCATGACTAGGCCATTTTATCGAATTCTGGTTTTGAACATACTAACCACCGGGGCCCTTTTTTCATATTTTTAGATCACGTATGGGTCGTATGGTCCGATAAATAGTCGCCTAATTAGGGCTCTACCTAGGTGTCTCCAAACATGTGCCGTAATCCCATGTAGTTTACGACTCAGTGGTGGGTCATGTTGTCAATGTGGTAACTTTTTCTTCCCACCATAGATATAATCTGCGTGTCAATGAATGCATCTTACATAAGCACGCCAATTCTAATCTGCATTTTATAGCTGTGTATCTTTCTAATGGCATTATGAGCGTTTACAAAAAGTTGCACTTTATTCAGTAATCATGAATGACCGCAGAATAACTTACGTTGCAGACATCTAAAATAGTAATGCATAGCGTCAGGCTTTGGTAAAATGTTTCAGAAACGTCCGTTTCCAAAAGGGTTGCATTCGAGTGCTGATTGAACTCGATCTTGTAAATCAATCCAAAAAAGTCCTTTACTTTGTTCAGAATGTCGCGCAGCAAATGATGAGCGTAAATGAAGTCTCTTTTTTCCATTTCCTATTCTTCATCAAGTATCCTTTATTTGTTCTACCGATACCATGGCAAAGCCATGGTATTGATAGAACTAACAAGTAGATGTGCTGAAACACTTTAGGCTCCCCTGAGTTTCATACAGTCAATGTCAATTACGTACTCCCTTTCGCATGCGAACTACGCATGCGCAACGCAAGGTCCCTGCGTGCGGACCTCCAATCGTTAAAACCAATATGAATGCCAAGCCATACGCGCGTGAACGTGACGCGAAGCTCATTGCGCTTACGGAAAAAGGAGCATTTGATTTACGCGGACTGTAGATGTATCTACATCACTTTGTACCTTATGTCAACTTCACTACTGATAAGATTTTTTGGGGGCAATGTCCATTCTGCGGTACATATTCGCACAACAATGGAATAGAATACAACTTTATGATTGACACTTTCACTTTGAAATAAACGCTGACCACATGACAATTCATTTTTATTAAACATAAACAGTGGAAAAAAGTTTGTCTCCATCATTAATACTTTCATGAGTCCAAAGTAGAACTGCATCTCATAGTGCCATCCATTCTGGTGAGCTTTTGTTCTTGCCAAAATCTTGTCTGACATTCTTTGATGAACGTTCAGATATTTTTGTTAAACATACTTTGATCACCCATACCTTCTATAGCCTCAAAAACTTCCTATCCCATGTGAAACCCTTGTCCCGACTTTATGGAAGGACTAGTTGACTTTCCCGGTCCAGCCCGGGCTACAGTTCACCCTATACGACGAGCCCTCCCCCCCCCTGCTTCGAAACCGCATCCTCGTGATCCTGAGGTGAAAATGAGCTTCAAATGAGCTCCTTTACATAACCATGGGAAAATGCTTAATTAAACATGATAAGCCTCCATTCCTTAAAAGAACGTAAACAAATCAATAAATCGATAGAAGACCCAGCGAGTTTCAGTAAAAACTATTCTGAAACTGTCTCTAGGGTCAAGAACATCTGTATGCAAAGTTTGAGCCCAATCGGTTGAGCGGCATGCGTTTTAGCTCACATACCCTCCAAACAGACAGTTTTTGAGTTTTATATATATAGAGATGATAAGCTCACCCTGTAACCTCTTGTTAGAGTTCCTTCATACTACGCCGCAGGACGCGGCGTGCGCGGCGCGCCGCAGGAATCGCTCTGAAAATATACGTTCAATGCAACGCGTTTTCGCTGGTTATGTATGTACGAACGTGAATGTGAAGGAGATATAGAGATACATACATAACCAGCGAAAAGGCGTTGCAGTGAACATATATCTTCAGGGCCTGCGGCTTAGTATGAAGGAACCCTTTAGGCACCTTTTGCAAGCAGCATTTTTGATAGTGCTTACAATTAATTCTAATTAACGAGACGCAACTATCGTGAATTCACACGCCTATCGAACGCTCTTTACCCGGTCCGCTGCGTGGCAAAGAACCACATATCTGGTTTTCGAAAAACTCTGCAAATTTATTTCCTCCCTCGAGTTGTTCCTCCCTTACACTTAAAAATGGTTCTGAAGGGAAATGCAAGTTTCGCACTTTTTGGATTTGTTGGATTTGTCACCCCATCTCTGCGTTGCAAGAATCAAATGAGGTATCTGTATAGTGAAACTACTCAGCTTTCACGTTTGTAGATATAAGTCAGCAAATCAAGACATTATGTTGAATGGACGCAAAAAGCACACTGAAACATCCTGCGCTGAAATTGTATACATATGTGCAAAGTTTCAGCCCAATTAGTCAATCGCACCGTCTTTAGGTAAAATATTAGGTCGGTGCAAAAGTTTTGTCAGTTTTTTTCAATCCATCGGCAAACACGTTAGAATGAAGATAAGCTAATACTTCAAGATGTATCCGATGCAGAATTTCTTCCTCTTTCCAGCTGCTAAACTCACGTTGTGTTTCATTGCGAGAATGACGAGATACTTGCTGGAAATTACAACCACTCGTTTTTACCATCTCCTACTTCCGCTAATTTTTAGAATTTTTGTATGAGACTTTGTGAGAAGCCACAATAACCAGCAGATAAGGCGAACCTTTTGTCAACAGAAGCAATTTTTTTTCAGCTGCTTTTCCAAACTTTTGTTAAATAATTTTCTAAGTCTTGTGTGATGGAAAAAACGCATAACCTGTTATTGCACCAAACACTGCAAAACCTACAGAATACTGAGGTTTCAACACTTGATTATTACTACCGCTACCATTACACAGTAAATGAGCGATTTTCGCTTCAAATTATGATGATTTTGAATCATAGGTTACCTCAGAGCGCAATCCTGAAATTGAGAAATACTGCGATTTCCCCCACAAACTTCGCCTTTCCCGGCAAAAGAGACATGTATAAGAAGGAGGAGAAAAAGCTGCATCGAATGGTAATTGAAGTGTTTAACATTTTATGTTTTACGAAGTTAAAATATGCTGAATGTAAAATTGGGTCACTTCAAGAAATAAATCGTAGAAATTCTGAAAGACAAGCCCTAGAGCTACAAAAAATTGCTTCTGCTGGCAAAAGATTTGCCCTATCTGTTGGTTATTAGAGATCCTCCGAAAGTCTCATATAAAAATTTTGAAAATTAGCGAAAGTTGGACATGGTGAAAACGAGTGGTTGTAATTTCCAGCAGGTATCTCGTCACTCTCGCAACGAAACACCATATGAATTTAACAGCTGAAAAGAGGAAGTTCTGCATCGGATATATTTTGAGGTGTTTGTTTATCTCCATTCTAAGGTGTTTGCCGATGGATCGAAAAAACTGACAAAACTTTTGCACCGACCTAATACATACGCGCGTACGCACTGACAAACTTTCTCCTTCACAATCACATTCATATTTTCTTCACTTATTTATTTGATACGCACAAAGCGTGCCACATCGAGAACAATCAACGATAGCACTCAGAACATAATCAAGAACAAAGAAAAAAGAAAGACCCGCTAGGTCAGCTCAAGTCAGCCAGAAATTTGTTTTTAGGGATAGGAAGGGGTTAAACTTGTTCTAACATTTATATCATATATTTGATGTAAAGGCTTAATGGAGTCTGTCTTACGCCCCCTGCACGCAGCGAAAGTGCTATTTATGCAATATAAGCAACTGTATATGGGGGAAGCGAGCCGAAATGTCAAAATCCAACCACTCTCTGTGAAGAAGCAGAACTCCAACAGAAGAAATTGCACAATGCAAAAATTGATCAAGCCAAGCAAGCTATCATAAAAAATTATCGGAAGGGGTGAACCGAACTTAAACCAACGTGTAGACGAAGTATAAGCACGTTGAAACCCCAAATCAACATCAAGTCTCAATGTAGTATGTCTGATTTGATATTTATTTATATTTATATAAAATACATCATTTATATTTATACAAAATATGAACCAAAATCCAACAAAAAACTCCTCACATTCTCTCAATCACAATCAACACTGAGTGAAAATCTAAGGAGGCAGACAGGGGTGCGTGCCAGAACAGAACCAGTCGAACGAAAGTGATATTTAAGCACTGGACAGAAGCGAGAATCTAAAAAGAGATTTATTGAAAGATGAATGTGATGAAAGCAAAAAAAGAATGCTTAGCTGGAGGACCAGGCCAGCCCAATATACCACGCAGTACTCGAGTTATGGTGTATGTACGCATAGAAACCAGTAATCGTTCAATAATTGTAACGAATAGACATATAGGCTGTACCGCCCACGATTCGGTCGCAGAAACCCACGAGGTGAGACTGCTCGCAGGCGTCACATGCAGCCTAAATGGAGTTTGGGTGCGGAAGTTGTGTCTGTGCTGTGCTTAGAGATCTAATAAGGGAGGGATACCAACTTAGATTCGCCTTTTGAGATGAGACACATATATTTGGAATCAGCTTTGAACGCTGATTCTAAATATGCCATTCCTAGCTGCTTAGCATTATTCACGAGCGAGTTATGGGCTTACTGTTGTGAGTAATTAACAAACTTCTGAATGTCGTAAGACGATGTGTAGATAAGAATCTGCTCGAGAAAAGTGTTAGAATGTTGAACTGGCATCAAATTGATTTATTCGATTTTGAAAGGGAGCATTATACAATTGCAAACCACCTAGATGTCGGCACCGTAACATCAGTTGGTCGAGGAGCACGGAAACTTTGCATAGAAAAGGGACCATAACTCGCTTCAGATCAATGCCAAGCAGCTAGGAACAGCATAATTAGTATCAGCGTTTAAAGCTGATTCAAATATGCGTGACTCGTTTCAGAAGGCGAATCTAATTTAGTATCTTTCCCTTGTAAGTTCGTATTGTGCTTACCTTTTTTCCTCTTCAGACTTTGTTTTGATTTTCGCTTGCCTGGCATCTTCCCTTTAAAATGGTGCGTACCGGGATTTTGCAGTGTTCCAATGGTAGACCTTCCAGATAAAGGCAGATGGAAGTCTGGAGCGAAAAGTTCTTCCCGAAAGCCCAAAATCCGCCCCGGAGGCCTTTCGGACCCCGCCCACTTCTTACACGTTGGTTAGAGCGAACACCGACATGAGGAGCTTCCAAAAAAGTTCATTTTTGCCATTTTCAAGCACTGGAAAGCTTAGATATGGCTTCAGCATGGCGAGAAGGCTCCGAAGAGGTGAAAAACCGGGGAGCGGATTATTGCTGCGACATTGCCTTTAACACATTGACGACAATACGACCCACCGTTGGGTCGTACGTGTCCTGCCATTTCTGACAATACGATCCACCGGTGGGTCGTAAGATTCATGAAGCGCTATCTTTGCCAGTTTACGATGGAATTCTACGGGGTCTTGGCACATGATTGGGGGCACCTAGGTGAAGCTCCAGCCAGAGTGATCCGGGTTCGGGATACTGTAATGCAAACAGTAGGTATACGGTAGATAGATGAAAGGCACAGACTTTTAGCTCAAATTCTTCGCAAAATGATGATGTTTCTGAAGAATCAAGTTTACATGTAAGTGTAATACAAGGCGGACAAGAGGCTGAGTTAGCCCATCGAAAAATTATCGATTTTATTGATTTCTTGCATTTTTCATTCTAGGAAGCTCGAACTTTGCATATATAGGTTTTGTAGCATGCTGATTTTGAAAATGATAGGCTCAAGTTTTGATAGCACCTTCTTACATCAGTTTCTTGATTTCTGCGAAAATTCTACCGTACTGCTGTTCACTACTGTGGGACAGTAGTGAACAAAGTGAACACTATAAACGTAATCAGCATGTGAAACAACTCCAAAACACAATTTTTCATGGAAATCTATGGTGTTGGTTTCGTACAGGACGACTACCGTAACCTTACCGTATGACGCCAAAAACTAAAACAAGTTGTTTTTTGATAATCAGCGCCTTCGATTACCTCTCTGGAAGAATTTTCGGGGACATGTTTTGAACTTTTCCCAAAAAGACTACCATCTCGGACAATACGGCCCGCGGGTGGGTCGTAAATTTGACGAAGCGAAAAAGGCGCCTGTCCGTGGCAGTAATCGAAAAATCGGCCTTGTCGTCAATGTGTTAAGAGGACACGCCATTTCATGGTGATCATGTATGGGGACTATTCTCCGCAGAGGTGTATAGTCCATTTATAAAATCGTGACAACGTTTACTTCGGACCTTGCGCCCACAGGAGCATAAAACGCTTATACAAGGAGGCATCACCTCAACATTCAGCCAGTCACTTTCTGCTTGACATTATCACTCGTAAGCAAAAAGACCATTCGGCTAGAGATGAACACCCAAAAAATGCGAAATACGCGACGCGAATTCGTCATTCCGGAAGTGGCGTACGTCGCGCGCGGTCGCGCCATCGTCACGATTTTTCAAATGCCCTATAAACGTAAGCATTCTTTCATCCAAGCGTAGAAGATATTGTCACCCAATCTAAAATGGAGAGTCGGGAACGCAAGGTGTTATTGAATCATTAGTAACTAGCTGGCTTACCCCGGCTCCGCCGTATCCGGACCAAACTTGGCACACATACACTTCGGGCCCCGGCGGGTGTCACAGTCCACTTTTCGTTATCGATCGATGTCGATTTTACCGATTTTTATCGATTTTTTTGCTTCACCTACAGGGCTAGGAGTGGCACAGGGGGGGAAGTGAGCATGGGGATTCCGAATACAATATTAGTTTTCAGAATTATCGATTACTTTTATTGATTTTATCGATTTTTTGTAAATTTTGACATGCGAGGCTGGGATTTTGCACAGGGGGGTAATCGAGCATGCTGATTACGAACACAATATTAGTTTTCAGGATCGTCCATTACTTTTATCGATTTTATCGATTTTTTGCAAGATTTGAGAGGGGGCTGGAATTTGGCACAGGGGTGTAATCGAGCATGCTGATCACCCCCCTTGGAGATGATCAGCATGCTCGATTACCCCCCTGTGCCAACTCCCAGCCCCCTAGCTCAAACTTTGCAAAAAATCGATAAAATCGATAAAAGTAATTGATAATCCTGAAAACCAATATTGTATTCGGAATACCCATGCTCGATTACCCCCCTGTGCCAACTCCCAGCCCCGTAGGTGAACTCAGCAAAAAAATCGATAAAAATCGATAAAATCGATATCGATCGATGACGAAAAGTAGCCTATGACACCCGCCGGGGCCCGTAGTGTATATGTGCCAAGTTTGGTCCGGATCGGTTCAGAAATGGAATTTTCTATTCGGAACATACGTACATACATACATACAGACAGACAGACAGACATACAGACAAACAGACATTCAGCTTTATATATAAGAATTTGACTCTATCACATGAAGATAATATACTCCTGGACATTGAGGAGAACGTCTAAGAGGGTTATCAATGACCCGCTTTTCCTGACGTGAAAAGTGCTATTTGGGCGGACCGCGTATCTTGCTCTCTAGAGCGCGATTGGCTTGAAGTGGAGACAGCGTACCTGGCTTTCCCGCGAGCCAATCGCGCTCGAGGGCAGGTATGCGCCGTCCGCCCAAATAGCACTTTTCGCTTCCGGAAAAGCGGATTATTGATATCTTTTTAAGCTGCAAAGCGCAGTCTTGGATTTAGCTCTTCCAGGGGAACCGAGAACGAGAATATCCCAAATTTGTCATTTTGCCGAGCCGCTGCCTTAAAGGGCCTATGCTTAAATGCGGCATACCGCTTTCGGCGATGGGAGAGAACTCTCGAGTACGGCGCGCTGGGTTTTGGGGGCAGTTTTCCTGGCAAGGCCAACATGCTGTGGGCTCGGACTTGCTCCGATTTCAGGTTTGGGATGAAACAACCTACCATAACAAAATCTCGAGACGTTCATTGTTGCCGAGACACTGCCTATCATGACGAATTTAATCAGAATAAGCGTTTTTTCAGCGTCGTAGTAGCTCCCGTTACTCCACGTGTCAGAGGGAGAATCTTCAAACTTGGAAAAGGACGGTTCCTGGGCAAGCACGCGCAATATGGAGGGTTTGTGCATCGACACACCTCAAGATACGACCACTGTAGCATACCACAGAGTCTTAAGAGATGGGATCAGCTTAAATCCCGTCACATTCCCAGGAATCGAATCACTCCAAACTCGACTAAGCGAAGTGTTGCCCCTTTCCCCACCACAGAATTGTCAGCAGTTTCAGTTTCTCGAATCTTCGCCGTGCTCATTATAATTCCCTCAAGCACTTTTATCACACTTTTTGGTAGGACATTAAACCATCTCAGAAGACCTTCACCAACGTCGCTCAAAGAATATCATCGCCTTCCGACAGAAATTGTGCAAGCGAAATGCGTACCTTGCGCAATACAGTACACCTTATATACCTTGATGACTATGCATGCGCGTCATCAGCCCATGCGAGTGTGACAAACGGCATTTTGCCATTGTTTGAGAACTTTCTCGGGCAGTTTGACTCTTTGAGAGTTTGATTTTCAAGAATGAACTCAAATTTATGTAGAGTTGGTAGAGCTTTGTTGGTTCGAAAATCTGTTTCTGGACTTTTGTGTAATGACTCAGTTTCTCTTCTACCATCAGATGTTCTGAGGTCTCGAATGCTTTATTCTTTTGAGTTCATTTCTTCTAGGATATTCTGCTCAATCTTTTAGGCGTCTCACACCATAATCGCCTCGAGAATCAATATTGATAAATAACCGCGCTCTCGTCATTGATCCTGCAACATCTGTCAGCGAGTGTCTCACTTCATAAGAACACCTTTGGCAAACGCACAGCTATAAAATGGTAAATTTTGATCGGCTAGAGATTTTAGGCATTCTCCCCATGTCTTGTATCGTTATGCTGATAATTTGTGTCTTAGAGCGATAGCGAAGACGAAATCTCCGTTTCTGGATCAGAAGTCGAAGAGGATGAGCTTGACGTTGAAATGGCAGATGATGATGCGCCAGCTAGTGATTGTAAGTACTTTTGGGGGAGTTTCGGGTGAACGTTTTTCCTTTGGTGTGCGTCGAGAGACGTATTATGTTGGTGCATAATCATTGTGCCATTTTTTCGTAGCATTCTTTTCAAATGTAATGTTTTATCTGTTCATCGTTTTTGGCTTGGATGCTTGCATATGTTTGACTCGGCCAAGCGGCAAGTCCACTATGTTACAAAATTTTTCCAATCAAGGAAAGGGCGATCGTCAGTCATATTTGAAAGGCATTATGATCAAAGTAATGTTTTCCGAATACCGGATGACATAAACACCTAGAATTTATGGTGTTCGGCGTTCGGCGATTGGGTTTTGCGGATCTTTTTCGACCCCTTACAGCAACTGCGTTCAAAAGTTCATTCTCTTACCCCTATCCTATTACCTAAGTTTTTTGAGGTAGAAAGTGCAGGCATATTTTTGTCCTTTTTTGCTCCTTGCAGCGAATAAATCTAATAAAAATTCAACTGTCAACTCCTCTGTTTGTGTAGTGTTCGTATGGCTCTGCATCATATATATATTCCACATATTTTTCTTCATATATGCAACTTGATCGCTCTTGAGCGTTCCAGAATTTTATAAAAGCTACTAATGAAGCTAATGGTTTTGGTGAGCTTCAATGCCTTCGAAGTTTCATATGAAAAATGCTCGGAGACATCGCGATGAAGGGGAAAATTCTGAAGTGTCGCCCCATCCACCTCTGATCTAAAAGCCTCTTTGTGTTCAGCTTGCTCAGCGCTGTTGATTATTCAAAGCTACTTTCCAAATAGTTTTGAGTTTTATAATGATCTCGGTTATGTCAGAGATTACATTTCGTTTTTCTTTGAACATTTTATTGCTTCCGGCGTCATCGATTTATTTTGGCTTCACCTTTTTTACGCTTTCGTCAGAAGTATGTGTCATCATGACGATAAAGCGCTTTGAACTTGCCGTTTTCAACATGATGTAAGTCTTCTTAAAAGTGTCGCGAAAGTTTTTGATTTATATGGCAGTACACTCTTCTACTGTGAACAAATCTGTCCGATGTCATATCTCTGTGCGCGCCTCTGTCATTAGGCTTACAAAATTGCATAGTTTCGAGGAAATTCAGACTACTAGCTGATTTTCTCGAATTGTAGTTATATCTTGGTAGCGCACAGTGCGACCTTATGAATCACTATTTTGCTGCATTCAGCTTTAGTGTGCGAAATCTGCTATCGCATCACACATTCTTTCTGTTTAGTTTTTTGAGTTCTCGAACGCGTTCCTATATCTTCTTCGGGCTATTCGGATTCATACTGATGCTACATCTTGATGAAATAGTATTTCTAGATTTCGAATTTCCAGGTTTGTTTTACTTTGTGCAATCAATATCGAAATTCCTTGTTGGCAATTTTTATGTGTTCTCTGTTTTGTAAAACCTGGGCATTTTGTGATGTGATGTTAATCAGTATAATATTAATCATATAATATCATAGCCATTTGCAGTCAGTTTTGGTTCTACTTTGCTCTTCATTGCCGTAGTGGGCGAGTCAAGGTTATAATGCGAATTTCAGGGTTTACTGGTGTACTTTTCACAAAAACGGTATTCATTTTGGTCACTTCACACTTTATCCTTCGGGACCTTCCATGCTATACCAGGAGGTGATTCCTGCGATTCGTGTAATTCCCGCAACTCCTGTGATTTCTCGACTTCCGATGCCGCACTATGGAGCGCTTTGCGAATTTCAGTATACAGTGTTTTTTCTAGCAATATACATTGTTATGAGACACGCAGGAATCACAGGAATTGCAGGAATCACAGGAACAGTATGGCCAGTCCCTTCTGTATATATCATCTATTTTATGACCAAGAGACGCGAGACTGCATTGCGGACGTTGTTTCAACAAGTTTGAGTTTGTTCTTCCTTGTTTCCAAAGAGTGAATAAATCGGACGAGATAAATAACAAGTATAAACCTGCTTAGTACAGGATTAGGCTTATTTAGACAATGTGCAATGCGGTCCCGCGTCTCCTGGTATAAAATGTATGATAGGTACTCGGGAAATGTCATCACTTGCTCAATTGTCATCAAATAGGGCTGCCTTGCGAAATACCTGTACTGATGCAACCTTCGCCGCAGGCCGAATCTCTGATTTGCAACCAACAATAAGTAAATGTCATTTTATCATGATGTATAAGCTTTTAAATTATTTCCACATTTTGATGTTTGGTTTGTAAAAAAATTATTTGTGGCAAAGATTAGGTTCAAAAAGGATGACAAATAGGAACTAGACACCTGACTGTCTCTGTAAAATGCTCCGGCTGAAATATGCGACAATCATTCATTCCATTTCATTGCAACCCATTTAGAATGGGTATATCTGGTGCCAACGTGTCAGTTCCCTAGTCCATCGCGTCTAACATGAATTGACATGTACGAGAACCTTCTGATTGACTTAGGATTCCAACAGAGTGTTCTTTTCTTCATTGTTGAATTGTGATTTGTCGTCTATCGAGCTAACCGCTTTTCTTTCTTTTATCTCTTTTTTTGTTAGTGAATTAAAAGCCGTTGAGATGTCTGCTCTGAATTTTGTTCAATCGTTGTCGGCTTCTAATTCCCCAAATTAAGGTTTTTCACTTCCGCTTCAAGGTCTGGTTCATGTGCAAGATCTGAGTTAATCGTTAGATAGGCGAACTGGTTCACTCAACAAGCTCTGCGTTTGTTCAATCAATAATTTTCTTCCCGTCATCTCTGCGACTCAGATCGCTTTCACAGATCTTCTGCTCCGTTTTGATGACATTTTCATTCTGATTCATCTTTGTTGATCACATTTTAAAACATTCTAGGCGTCCTTAGATGCTAAAATCGTTTTTTTTACGAAAATTTCCTGGCGCTATTCCAGTATCCGGGCCCCAAAATTTTTTGTCCTTTATTTAGCTAAAATTTGGCCTGGGAGGGTTATTCGGCCCGGTAATGCCAAATATCGCACTGCTTTTGTATGATAGCGTCATTCTTTTGAGGTTACGGTGGGGAGTCAAAATCACGAATTTCGCTGAAAGTTGGCCTAGGTTGTTAATCGATATGCTGGTCACGAAGATCAAGTTCTTTCTGCATTCTGCGGCCTTTTCATGGAGATACGGTAGGTATACGGTATGAGGGCAAAACCACGAATTTGCTCCAAACTTTGCCTAGTTAGGTTTACGACAAAAAAATTTTGGGGTCCGAATACTGGAATAGCGCCATTTTCCTATACTTGCATTTTTTACCTGATTGTTTTGGTTTATAACCCTGTTTTCTTAGCAATATTTTTTCCTAGCAAACTTATAAATCTGCTTGCTGTGATGGAAGTCAGATGTCGTCGTGGTTTGCTTCCTACTCGGCTAAAGAAATCTCTTCGTCAGTTTGTACACGACAAAATCAGAGAGAAAAAGACGGAGATTATCCGAGATTGGCTAGATCTCTACCATACGAGTTAGACTTGCATTTTTTTGTTGATTTTTGCTGTCCTATCTTTTCTTCTGGAATGGTTTGATCTTAATAACACCTGATTCTTAAAATTTTGCTTTGTCATGGCCATTTGTGCTGATTTAGAGTCACTGACATTGTAGTTTGTGCTACTCAGTATTGCAACGCATTCACTACACTGCGCTAACTTTTATTTCTTAAAAATTGTTCGAAACTTCTCTGTCACTAGTCGCTTTACTAACTGATGCTTGTTTTGCTTGCGTATATGTTTCGGTACGTCTCTCAAACCAGATAATGCTTTAAATCTAGCAAATCTGCTATAACGCTAATCGCTTGAAAGTGCAGCCTGAAAGCAGTGGAGGAAGTATCCGCTGTCAACCAGTTTGCTCTGGTCTTTTTCTTTGCGAAGACCTCTGCGCTATGTTTATAACACAAACCACAATCACGAGAGGTGTTTTTGAGCAGGCCGCATCTTTTAAATCTCGAAATCAGCCTCTCGCTTTGTTTTTGAGCAAAGCTCTCTCCTTTATTAGGCTGGCATGAGAGCTCGCGAACATTTTGAAATAAAATCTCTGTTTGTTAGGATTTAATGCATCTATGAAAATTAGCACTATATTTTCATATGGGCAGGTTCCGAGATCGAAAATTACGTGTTGAATGTTTATTTTCACAGAAAGCATATGCAAATGTATGTTTCCGTTATCCACTGTGGATGTCTTCTCATATCAGGTTTTTGAGAACTTCCTTGCCAACTTGGTAGGAGTGCTTACTGACTTTCATTTCAAGTTTCGAAGCAAAATCATATCTAAAATTTCTATGCTATCTAGGTGTACAATTGAAATCGATTGTCCGTTCACATTTGTTGCGGTTATCTGTTCAACTAACTTTTTTTGAATGTTCTGGAAAAGTCGCGAAAACTAACCTTTCACTCCATATTTCACTCACTGAGTATCATGTATAAGCGCTCCACACTTATTTTCCACATTTCGAAAACCAAAGCGATTCAAATCTGCGCGTGTCTATGTGGAAACTGACTTGTGGGTTCAACACCAAAGCCCTTGCGGCATTTCGTATAATTTCATTCTGGGAGGTCCCACTCTGGATTTTTTCACGACCGGTTGGAGGACTCTGATTCGTTCGCTCGGAAGCAGTACGGTACTGGGTGGAAGTAGTATGGAGCTGACACCAGCCTTGAATGGACCATATGATCTGCTTCTCGGCAATCGCTTAGTTTTAGGCCTGCCAGTCAGCTCTGCATCCACTCGCATTTCTCTGGACGCTGACTTAACTTCTCGATTGATCTTTTTTCTTACTCAACTCATTGGTTGAGCATGCTATCATCGCAAGTTACACAAGCTCTCATTAATCCATTCTGACGGGCTGTAGTGCGTTCAAAAATGAATCTGTTAACTTAGTACGCTTTTGCTCAAGTACATCACAGGTACAATGACTATCATCGATAGCGGAGAGCCAATTTGCATGGAATTTAACTGCATTGATAGAACAGGCCTCTTCAGCTTTCGTGAACTACTACTAGAAAGTGGCTCTTATAGCAAGAAGGTCTCCAAAGTATTGAATGAAGACGAAGATTCGGACGAAGAAGACGGTAAAACTCGTTCACGCCTACTGATTTATGGAAACCTATCCATTAACGATATGAATGCGCCCGTCTACTCTTTTCTTTCTTGGAATGCCCACTTTTGCAAAACTAAATCGGCTGTAATTGTGGCGACACTTCGATCTAAATGACTTTTTAGGTGATGACAACGATATTGATGCATTCTCTAATTCTTCATCGGTTAAATGGTATCAGAAGGAAATTTGGCAGCTTAGTAAACTCCCTTACTATGAGGATCTTGAAAAACAAGCGAATAAGACTTTGGCTGATGTCAAGGTATGTTTCTGACCTGTTTTAATTATTAAATTAGTGTTTTTTTTGGTACCATATCTTTTCTAAATGTTCATTTTGAGACCGGCCTTGCTCATTCAATAATCCTCAATGACCCTGTTACTGGTCTCATGCATTGGGTCCCAGAACTGGAAAGGTTTGTATTTTGTTTTCTCTTTTTCCTTTGTCTAATATTTAACTGTTATTTTCTTCTCATCCTTTCTCCTTTTTTTTCTCTTCCTTCCAGTGAATCTTTATTCCAGGTACATTGACTATTATGGACGCCGCATAAGCAAAGAAGATCACATATTGTTTGTTCGTTTGTTGAATTGTCTCGTCAAAAAAGGCAACACATTCCGAGACGTCAAAATTGCTTTGCATTGTCTGAATAAGTTGATTGGGTAAGTTTTTTCGAGTTTCGCCCTTTCGACTTTGAGCCAGTGACTCTTTTTTTAATTCTGTCTATGGTCGTTCATTGCTGCCTTTCCAGCAAACGCGATTTTCTTCTTCGCGGTGATCTGGAAATCGATTGGCGACCGCTGTTTGAGCTTTATGTAGAGGTGTCATATAAAAACCTAGAGGTGCGTTGCTCAAAGCAGTCAGCTAGGATTTCATAGGCAGTACATTTCGTGAACATTTTTGCCTTTTCTCTGTGGGGACTTTTCCTATAGCGTGTGCGTTTTTCAGGAAGATGGAATATTTCTCATGCCTGATGGGTTCAGAGCTGAATTGCAAGCTTACATATCACATGCTCGTAGATATTTTTCTGATGATGCTCCTCAACAATTACTGGATGAGGTATTTATTCACACTGTTCCGTTTTTCATGCGCATCACAAAAGATTTCCTCAAGTTACGACCCTTGATGTGCGTCTGGGATGAGTCAATCGTGAGAGCATGGAGACTTCTTGAATTATTTATGCCTATGAACCTTCCTCCTGAAAAACAGCTGACTCATGGTATGTTTTGTATAATTGCTTTTCATTTTGTGAATAAAGCAGATATTCTATGTAGGAAGTGCGCTATGGCTTGATGAAGCATGGCATTGGTTTGTGACAGTAGAAAATAATAACCTGGTTGAGGGTTCCATACTCAAGATGTTTGTCCGGTGGGTATACTAACGAGCCAAGCCTTATGGATTCAAATGAGTTTTTTTTTTGTGAAAGTTGATATTTCAGGCTTTCCGTTGAATGTCCCGGCTCGGTCAACTGGCGCGATAAGCTCGATGTCATCTTCACCAGGGTGAGCATTTCATCTAATTTTTATCTTTCGAGCTTTTGGCTGAGATAAGATATGATTCCTTTGGCTATATTTACTTATCTTTTAGCTTATCCGCTCTTTCCGACTTGGTAATGTGGTGGGTCTCTGCCAACATTTCAATCTGGAAGGTGCTTCTGGGTTCATTACTTACGTTATGGGCACAGAATGTCACGATGAGTAAGTCAAAAGTGTTTATGTGCGCTATCATAGGCTCTTTTTTATCTGCTTTATTTTTTAGGCTTATGGAGAAATTGAAGTCAGTATTTTTGCTTGTTGAATCCTACTTGCATCCATCAAATCACGGCATGCACACACAGAATTTGCTGATGTTCATGAATAAGTGAGTCCACGAGAAGTTCATTAGATTAGTTGCTGCTTAACCACTATTCAGTAATTGAGTGCTTGAATAATTCAGACTTTCGCTATGTTTGCTTTCTCGTGTGAAGCGAGAGCGAATGGAGAAAACGTCTAACAAACAGCGTACTTTCATCAAGGTAGGGGTTATTTTGGATTCAAGCTTGTTTGCATTCCATGTCGTTTTTTTTCCTTATTTGTCATTGAATGACCGAATTGGTGCTTCCACTTTCAGATCCCATGTTCTATGAGACTGTCGCAAGCTCAGCTGGACCAGTTTGTAACCCTCATGTTGCCATGCTTGAAGCTGGCGATGTTCTCTAAAGCCAGAAATGAGTACGTTATCCATCTATATCGCTGCGATACTTGTTCTGGGATTTGTTGAATTTGCTTATAAGTCATTTTTCTCAGTTATTCATTTGTGTCCGCTTCAGGTTTGTCGCACCAATCGTGAAATGTTGCTGTAGCATTAGTCCAAAGATCGTACTGCCAGCAGTGATGGATATGTGAGTTTTTTTGAGTATGAAGATTGTGTGCACACTGCTTTTTTTAGAGTTTACCCAGCATTAGAGACTCTAACCGAACCTCATCGTTTATTGCAAGCTCTGCAAGTTTTGGTTGCTGTAGCACCTGTGCTCGCAAAGGATCAACCTGGCAAAGATGGGAAGACATTCCGGTAGGCTGAAGTTGTTTATTTCTCTCTTGAGTTACTTAATCCTCATTCATTGAACTTTTCTGCTTTTATACTATTATGATTGCTTTATAGAATCCATGCTGTCAATTTGATGAATTCACTTCTACCAGGCCTCGATCAAAATGACATGGGAAAATGTTTGACAACCTTCCAGGTATGCTTCTTCGTACTTAATTCTTAATTTCCGCTTCTCGTTTGTGTTCTCAAGGTACACTTATTGACACATTCTAGATTGTGGGAGTTTTGGTTAACTTGATCCCGTTGGTTGACTGCTCTGAAGCCATTTTCCTGCGCTCAGATTTATCCGAAGATGAGAAGGAGCTGTGCTCAGCAACAGCTAACTTCGACAGTATCATCGCCATGTTTATGGACAAGTAAGTGGTTATCATTATGTTTGTTTTGCACTTTCTGTCGTTTTTCATTCAATGCCAATTACGCGCAAATTTTCGTGTTATAATGATTCCGGGCAAACTAATATGCACTTTAGGTTGCTCTCAATAATGACCGAGTATGGCGAAGCCGCAGTGTTTACTGGTTCACACACTAACATCAATGCAAAGACAAGGGCGAATATGGATGACCACATTCTGCATAGGTAATCATTTGTTTTTACTTTGTCATTCTTTTGGGGGTTGCGCTCACCTCAGTTCATGGTTTCTGAATGTCTATCTACTTTAGAGGCACGATATCAGTATTTAAGGGGATCTGCAGGAATTCTAGTACCGAGTTGTACAAGGTAAGAACTACAATTACCCATGTCTTATGATTTGCAGATAATCACAATGCTAAATGATTACATTCATTCTAAAAATGTTTGGATTCAGGTGGCTGTTGATCGCTTATACAGTTTCCTCAACGAACATGTTTTTGATAGCAAAACAGTCTCGACAGCCATAGCAGATATGGTCTTCGTCGCAGTGAAGGTAATATACATCATATAGAAAGCTCATTTCCCACTTTGTTTCAACATTTTATCTTCTTCCAGATGCATCCGTCGCTGTCATTCGTGCGTTTCTTCTCACTGATCAAGAAAAAGTTGAAACAAACCATAACGAGTAGGTTACAGCTTTTACTATAGTCGTGAGTCGTGTTCACTCGTATATTCATGATTGTTCAGCTGAAACATATTCTGAAGAGAAAGTCGACTTCCAAGTGATATGGTGGCTCTCTATGGCTGATCGGGTTCTAAAGGTAAACAATATTCGAAACTATTAGAGTCTGCTAAATAAAGCATTCTAATCCGCTTTTTTAGGCTCCATCCCAGTATCTTCTCGAAAACTGGGATGAAGTCCGAGGATTGCTGGAGATAGTGCTCCCTTTGAAGAAATGTACATTGGCTACGGAGGTAAGTAGGCACTCCTCACGAAATTATCCGGTTTCTGCATTTTCATAGGCGTAGGAAGGTTATAAATTTGTTATGGCATGTGTTTGACATGATGGTAGTGCTTCGTGAAATTTTATGCGACAGCCTTCTTACGTATGCGAATCGAATTTTTTCTCTTGACGGAACAGTTAACGGGGATTCTTTTGAAAAGAAATTAACAGTTTTTGTATAGCAAAGAAAAAGTTTTTGCAAAGATTATTTTCGAGATGAGTCTTTTCAGAAAGCTACTGCTATTCTGGAGAGCGTACTCGAGGGACTTTGTAGTATCTATCTCCTTGAATCGCCTACTCGTCGAGCTAATGCTGATAAGAGCATGGAGGAGGATCTGGCTATTAGGGTAAGTTTTGCAGGAAACTCTAGCAAAAATTTGTCTAATCAGTGCATTTTTAGCATTGGTCAGCCACTGTGGACAAAAAGACTTGGCAGCCCCAATGGTGAGTTTTTCTTCATATATGTTAGGTGGGTCCGAAAGTTCTGTCGTTTCATTTTCAAAAATATGTAACTTTGCGCTTATCAACGGATTTGCTTGTTTGTAATTTTGTTAGAAAGAATAAGTCTTTCTCTTTTTTTTGGGAGGGGGGGGGGGGCGCCCATTACTTGGGTGTCAGTTGGAATTTGCCGCGACGCGGTGTTACAGTAACCCGGGCGAGAGGTAGCAGGGTCAGGGGGAATGTCCCAGCGGAAATGTTTAGGGGTCACGTCGTTATGGTGAACAAAAAGTACATTTTTTGTGACCATACTTAGTAATTTCCATGCTTCCATTTACTATCTCTTTCATTTTTGCAAGATTTGGAGCCAAACTTTCATCAAACAGTAAAATTTGATATGATAGTGTAAGAACCTTTACAAAAAATGGAGAAATGGAGTAGTATGCCTTGCAAGTCGGCTACCTGAGCTCTCCTCGCAGCTGATTACTGCCAGCATGTCGCGCGCGGCCTCTGCGTAACTGACAGTCACAAGTAATGGGATACACCCTCGCTGTTGAACACTACTCTGTCAGGCTTCTGTTTCACACGATGCGGGGATAAAAATGGAAAAGTAAGATCGCATAAGTTTGGACCATTTTAAGTTAGGTCACCAAAAATCTGAATTGCTGCAGAAAAATCTGAAATCGTCAGTAGTTTTTTGGCCTACTCTTTGCAACTGTAAAAAGTTTGTGCTGTTTGGACGTCTCTGTGAAAAGTTATAAATTTCAGTTCGAGTTTACTACGAAAAACGTCAAAATTAAGTGATTTGCCAATTTCCTCAAAAATCATAACTTCTCACAGAGACGTCCAAACAGCACACATTCTTCATAGTTGCAAAGATTAGGCCGAAAAACATATGTACTGACAATTACAGATTTTTTCTGCAGCATTTCAGATTTTTGGTGACCTAATTTAAAATGGTCAAAGCTTATATGGTCTTAGTTTTCCATTTTTATCTCCACACCCAGTGTGAAACAGAAGCGTTACAAAACAGCGTTTGAAAGCGAAAGACTTTTTCTTTCTAATAAAATTACAAGCAAGCAAATCCGTTGAAATAGCGCAAAGTTACAAATTTTTGAAAATGAAACGACAGAACTTCGGACCCTCCTAATATTTTATGAGCAGCAAGTGTCTTTTATGATTATCTCGATTTTTACTTCAGGCATGTCCCCTCACAAGAAGACATCGACAAAGCTGCAGAACTTTTCCGCGATTTCGTTATGCCGCAGCTACAGGCACTGGCATCACCACAGGGCATGGAAAAGTTCGTTTTTCTTCTCTTAGAAACTCATTTTTCATTTTTTCCCACTTTTTTCATGCCTTTAATACTTTCTAGGAAAGAGATGATGCATCACATTCTACTCGTTCGAAATGCAGTACTTGGAGCTTCAGCTTCGCTACCATTTTTCGAAGGTCCAAACTATTGCCTTGAGGATTCGCCGTCACTTGCAGCGATAGATCATCCTGTAGCCAGACCCGTAAATGCTCCCGGTGAGTTCTGCATTCGTTTTCTAAGTTTTTTCTTTTTTGACATGCTTTAATTGTCACATGTTGCAGTACTTACCTTGGATGGCAAGAATGTTCGTGATATCGTACTGGAGAACATGAAAACATTGTTGGATTATCTCTTTGAGCATTGCGAAGATGATGTGAAGTCAATTCAGCAAGTTGTTGTGTTGCTGAATACTTTGGCGTCTTGCCGGGGATTGAACTCGGTAGGTATTTTACTCTCTTGTATTTTCTTTTATCGTTTATTATTTTTATTATTTTTCCCCAAAAAACATATTCAGGAGTTGTTTGTAACATCGGTGCTAAGCTACCGTACCACGAAAGCAATCCTCAGCGACCAGCTTGCGGGAAATCGAGGCAATATCGAAATGTTATCAGAAGAGTACACTTTGCTCATGCATAAGGTCAGTGGAGTTGTCCAAATTGGCAATCTATTGTTGTCCATTCTGTGAAACATTTCAAAAGTTTTTGTAGAAAAGGAATTTGTCTTCAGAAACGAAATGTTACTCAAAGTGGCTATCAGCTGAAGTCTCAACATCTAGAGATCTTACGCATGTTGGTCAGGATAGGAACTAGCACTTACAGTCAGGTAATTTGCCTCCATCTCATATTAACCAAGTCTCCATTGACTCCATTCTTTCTAGAATCGCATCAAAGCACAATTAGTGCTAGTGAATCTGCTCAAAGACTATCCATTTGCATACAAGAGCATCCTCGGTGAATTAGTGAAATTCCTTGACCCCAAGAGTGACTCGACGCATGAACAAGTCAAGGTGTAGTTCTTGTTTCCTTAGCTTTCTGCTTTTTCTGCAGTTTTTACAATTTACAAACCTCTGTTAATTTCAGGGAGCTCTTCACATGCTCACCGATCATAAACGTGATGCGCTAATGCTGAGAGCAGGTGACGGATTCGAAGTGCAGCTTCAAGCTATGCCAGCCATTGTGGCTACCCAACACAGCGAAAAGCCATCGATTATCGATTTACTTGAACAAGCACAGAATTCGATTGTGGAGCTGTATGAAAGCTATAAGATAGAATATGAAGTCAGCCTTATTTGTCTTGAATATATGCTATGTGAACATTATTTTTTTGTAGATTCCTGAAGAAATGCGGTCTATAGCTGCATCGATTCTTGAAGTGAAGGAAGCTTGCCCACTGAACGCAAGCAAGGGAATGCCACCAGAAAAACTGATCAAAGCTAACGAAGATAATCTGGTGCGATTGAAGCAGAAATTCACTCAGTAGGTTTTTGTAGATTCCGTATTTTTTCCTGCTCCGTTAGAGCGTTTGCGATTTAATTTTATCATCATATGTTGTTATTTTTTCCTTTAATCGTTCCAACTGCGCATTACCTTCCTTGTAGGCAGTATTATGAACTTGCTGACAGGCTCCTTTCGCTGGCTCAAGACCCAGAACTTCATTGGCGACATGTCGATATGGCTCAGGCATTCTTGTCTTTATTAGTGCGAAGGTAAAGTTAATGTTGCCGGAAAGCTTGGGTAATGGCATTCTTTTTCAGGGATATAGCTTATCCGGAACCGGTGCTGAAGATGTGGGTAAAGCTTTTGGTACACGATACGGTAAAAGCCCGAAGGATGGCAACGGCAGTAGTAGCTAGTTGGTTGAAACTGAACAAACCAAAAGCTGTTAAGAGGGAATGGGTTATCACTTACAAGGTTTGCTCCCACCTGGAAACCGAGTCTGTATGGAACGTGCGCATGTATCTTATCCAAAGCATATTTCAGGAGCCAAATACATCTGTTGGTGCACGATGGCCTATTCGCTACGGTATTCGAGATGACAATCGTTGTATGATGTACGAGGAAGAGGTAATTCTGTTGTATTTTCGATATGTAAAAGTATCATTTGATCACTTGAGTGTCCTTGACCACATTGAGTTACTCTTTTTTTACAATGAATGTATCGCAAAGTAGAACCTTTGTTTGTCGGTTTCACTTCTTTCCTGAGTCATAGTGAAGAAAGTTGAGAGAACCGGGAGTTGTCTGAATCATCTCTAGACAGTTTAGACAGATGTTCTTTGCTGTTATGTCATAAAGGCAGAACCTTTCAGAAACTCCCAAAGACGGAGAAAGAATGGGACAATTTCCAGTTCTGTGGCAAACAACATTGGGGATTTTATACATGGCCAGAGAAACTGATAACGTATGTGTTTGTATAAAACACTGTTCTGATGTTCACTGCTTCCGTAACAGATATGCACCTCTGTGTGAACAAAAAGCAATCGACAGAACAGAAGAAGATCTTTCGGAGACTGAGCATTTCATTGTTGATACATTCCGTGATCCTGAATTTGCTACCAAGTTACGCACGTTATTCGCTGTTGAAGAGACAAAGGAAGACACATTTGATGCTGTAAAGTTCTCACTATTCCAGGTATTTTCAGTGTTGATTTCTTGGGTGAAAATTATGATAGAAAGTTGATCCCATTCACTTCTATGCTTATATTCTAGGGACTATTTCGATGCTTCAATGACGTACTATGTACTACCTTCAAGGAACATTTGGAAATCTTGATTGTGAGCTCGAAGGTGAGGTCTCACTCAGAATTTAGTTTTTTTGTATGGAAAGCCCATTTTTTTGTTTTGTTATTTGATGTGAGAGTGGTGCAGGACGTCAGAACCCACGTTCAGGCAAGTGACCAAAAATTGGCCTCAGAAATAGTAGCAGGGCTCATCAACGGTTCAAAACTCTGGAAATGGAGCCGCCAAAGTCGAATGTGGTCATGGCTGTCACCATTGTTGACGAGAGCTCTGGAAAATATGAAGGTATCGTTGCGCCGTCCCATTTTTCGTTTTTCTCAATTAATTTGAATTCATTAATTTATTTTTGTTAAATCAATTTATGCAATCTGCTTTGAACTTTAGGAGGAAGCCATGAGGAATTGGGGAGTATGCATAGCAACTGTGTGCGGTTGTTCTGAATCAAGGATGTTGAAACCGTTGATTGACATATTGTTTGCTCTCGTAAATAGACCAACAGAAAGTGCCTTTTCCGCCCAGTCGTGAGTTCTACTTCGCTCTGAATTCTCCTTTCTTTTTTGTCGAAATTCTTCTACACTTGCTATCAAAACCTTCTCAGACGACTTTTCCTGCTGCAAGGCGGCCTATGTCAGTTTGAATGGCGTACCATCGAACTTTGGAACAAAGTGGTGGACCATCTATCAAAAAGTGCTGTTGTCCAACAGTATGCCAATCTTCGGGATCGAATGGCGATGTGTGTTTATTGTTCCATTGTTAGGCACATAAAAGATGTGCAGTATCATGATCTGTTTTCACTCATTAATTCGGCCTATTAGCTCATGCAGCCGATAAAATTGGCGATTGCAGCTCCCTCGTGACAGCTTCGTGGTTTGACATACCGACAATTTACTACAGCCCAGATATTCCGGAATCACTGCATGGACCAACTATAGCGCACTGCATTGGTCTTTACGATCAGCATGTAGGTTTCCACTTGCTTCTATTGGTCTTTTAAACTCATATAATCCCTTCTAGATGGGTGCCTGTTGGGAAGAAACTCGAGTGAAGGAGCTGGCCTGTTCTGAGTCGATTGAACCTCAAGATCTGGTGAGCTTTGGCTTATCTTCACCATATTTTCTAATTCACATCGTAAGTTTAGGCTTCATCTACCTTTCAGAATGGCAACGGCGATAGTGAAGTGAAACGCATGGCCAGACTTGCATTGAAAGGTGCACTGGCATATACCCTTCACGTCGCTGGACAGTCTCTAACAGCAATACCACCTTCCATACTTCGTTTGCTACCAGTCTTTTGTCATTACAGTAACGATGTTGGGTAAGTGATATTTGTTCCATTGCTTTTGACATATTTGTTATTTTATGGCTTTAGTGACGAAGAGTTGTACAAGCAGTGTTTCTCCTTAATGTCACGATTACTGCAAGCTACTTATATACCCGAAGCGAATCTACCATGTATCATGCAAGTGTTCCGACAGGTTTGTTGATTTGCGCTTTCGAGAAACCTTTTTTTTTTCACTCAGTGATAAATAGCGGAGATGTTGATAATGTTATATTCTTTGCAGATGCTGCAGTCGCCATGTTGGTGGAAATCGAAAGTCACAATGCTGTGGCTCATGAAAGTCATGGTGTTCTCGAATTTGTATGTGTTCGCCACTGTACGTGAAGAAATTGGTGGGTTCTCAATTTCCTCATTCTTTCGTATGGTTTTTCATCGTATTTGTTAAATTTTTGTCTGTTTTTGTGACTTCCAATTCATGAAACCATAATGGCCAGGCATGGTCATAATTCCATAGTCTCCTTTTATGCTGGAATTTCCTTACCCTTGTGGAAATATACTTTCTCAAGGCCAACTTTTGATGGGCAGTTTGAGCGATTGCCAGTTGGAGGTCCGACAAACTGCGGCTGACACTCTCTCCGGTTTGATACAGAGCTCGTTCTTCACCGTTACGCCGGAATTATTGGTAGGGCTGGAATGCATTTTGAGTAATCACATGACAAACCACGAACATTTAGGATGCATTCAATGATCGTGCAAATTCAAAAGATCCGATTATCCGACATGGAGGGGTTTTGAGTCTATCAGCGATAGTTCTCGCCGCGCCATATTCGGTTCCATCCTATCTTCCAGATGTTCTGATGAGATTATGCCGATTTGCTTCGGAAAAGCAGCCTATTCGGGTCAGTGCCCTAACGATAATTTTGGTTATCCAAAAGCTATGTCTTAAAAGTCTATTTCAGGATACTGTAAAGAAAACTTTATCCGAATTCAAACGTACTCATCAAGATTCTTGGCGCGAGCATGAATCTCAGTTCAACGAAGACCAACTATGTGTGCTGCGAGATCTATTCGTTTCACCGAACTATTACGTGTGATGTGTGGTTGTCGACAAATGTTCTATGTTGTCATTTTCCTTGCAAGTAAGTTCGTTTTTGATGTTTTTGGGAAGGCAAATTTTTGTTTTTCACGTTAGTTTTTTGATTTCCGCATTATTCTTTCTCTAGTAATCGTTTCTTTTTTCTTCGTCCGGAAAGACGCTTTGTATTCCATAATCACTCATTTACACTTATTGCATGTAACTGATAAGCAAATATGCCCTTTTCAACCTTAATTCTGAGGTGTATTGTCATCCATTTAAAGAAAGCAACGATTTGTAACGACAAATTGATTTTCAGGTTTTCCAACTCGCTCATGATGTCGTCGGGATGACTTGTTCGTACTCGGGTTTGCGCTGTGTGTAGAAGCTCCACAATGTATATTTTTTGATTGTTGTACCTTTGGTAGTCTAAACCGATTCGCTAGCAAACTAGTTTTTTCTCGCAATAGTATATCTCTCATTGAAACATTTTACTCCACAAATTTTATTTGGTTGTATCTCTGTCATAGAGAATGGGTTGATAGAGACTATATGTTGAGTACTTGTGCTGTCTACTGGGATGACTTTTATGATTTTTACTGCAATGTATCTAATAAACTGCGACTGAATCATAGCATGTGCTCTCTGCGCTTTCATAATGGTTGTAGCTGCATTTCTCGGCGTTATCGAAACGTTACTGTCTGGTAAACAATCCTTCTGTTTTCCATCGAATTTTGGGGTTCGTTGGATGATGAGCGGCGATGAGTATTCGAGAATTCATAATTTTTTAGTCATTCATGTACTCTCTATTCAAGAATGTTTACGCCTCAGTATCCTGATTAGTGTGGTCTTTGTTTACCTGTAACTACTTAGTAATAATAACCACAACTCTTTATCTGAGTGATTTATTGAATTCCTTCCCACTCGCAGCGTTCATTGTTTCCTTCACTTGAGATCTATATTAGAGTATTTCTATCTTCATGAAACTGATTGCAATAATAAAGAGTTTTGAATACCTGCTATAATGCTTTCTAGATGAGTGAAAGGTTCTTCCATACGATATTCCAATGGCGATTTCAGTGTCTTCCTTTGTCGTCTCCTTGTTGAATGTCGATTCATCCAGCTGCTCGATTAACTAAAATCACAGACAATTGATTGACCGCTCCTATTGCAAAAGAAACCATTGCTGGAGCGGTACGTGGTGCGCCAACTCATTTTTAAATCATCACGAAAAACGATGAAAACAAAAGTGAGCAGACAGCTGAGACTGCCGCTATATAACCGTTTTGTTGGTTCCGCGCACAGGGCTCGGTATAAGCTGGAACCAAGTTTTTGAAACAACATCCCCTTTGGTATCTAAAAATCTTACGAAGTCCCTCTTGACATTTTCAATGCTCCCTCATTACTCTATACTCGTTTTTCGTCTATTAAGTTGGGCGGTGGATCAACCTAGAATAAAGGGCAAAATACCAGAAACAAAAAACCAAGAAACCCTCCACCTCTCCCTCTTACAACCCGCCAAATAAATTCCGAGGGCTATAAAAAGCCCGAGATAAGAAATATGAAACCGTTTTTTGCCCGTATGAAAACTTTTGAAACAAAACACCTTATGTGGAAAAAATATGAAAATGTGAGCAAAAGATCGGTTCCAGCTCAGCTGGCACCTCGATGGAACCTTTTCAGTCAATTCGGAAAAAAGTTCAGCAACCTTTCATCTACTTGAATTCTTATGAATTTTAATTAATTCAAATAGTGTCAGTATAATGTAGCCAGCACGAGGTTTGGGCGAAGCGATTTATTACATCAGTGGCCTAACGCGTTTCGACTACTCGTCGTCTTCGGAGGCCTTTGCTCCACCGTCGGTCACTTGATGATATAGTGCGACCGCTTCCTTAGTGACAGTAGTGTCAATCGATTGGCACTACTGTCTGGCTACATTATACTGACACAGTTTGAATTATGCCGAGGATTCAACAAGAGAGGACGAAAAACTTACTAAATTTAAATAATCAAATTGCACACCATATTCGGTGTCGTATCATTGCATTTTGTCTGTAAACTGGTTTTTGCTTGTTTGCAGCAGATTTTGAATTTTTGCGCTGCACGAGAACATGTTACAGTGGGGTAAAATTTCCTCTTAATATAGTGTGGTTGCGCTGAAGGTGAAATGCGGTAAAATTTGCGCGTGAACAAGTAGCCACGGCAGTAACGCCAGCCTTTTGCGCACGCAGTTGGCCGGCGTCACAGGCGCAGCTATTTCTTTACGCGCAAATTTTACCGCATTTCACCTTCAGTGCAAGCACACTATATTAAGCGGAAAATCTGCTCGACTGTTGATCATGTATAGGCTACTGCATGACGAAGGCGCAATATCTTTGAGCACGAACGCAGATTTATTAGCCGCAGAACAGCAGGGTTTACAACGGTGAAGATACACGCGCCCTGTGTTTGCGCCCGCTCAACTACTGCTTCTGCGCCTTCGTCTGCAGTAACATTTGAATGATGAACCTGTCGTGACTATTTTATGATGATACTAGCTGGCTTACTCGGCTCCGCCGTATGTTCCGAATAGAAAATTCCATTTCTTAACCGATCCGGACCAAACTTGGCACACATACCCTTCGGGCCCCGGCGGGTGTCACAGTCCACTTTTCGTTATCGATCGATGTCGACTTTTTCGATTTTTTGCAAAATTTGAGCTACGGGGCTGTAATTTGGCAGAGGGGTGTAATCGAGCATGCTGATCACCCCCACGGGGGTGATCAGCATGCTAGATTACCCCCCTGTGCCAAATCCCAGCCCCGTAGCTCAAACTTTGCAAAAAAATCGATAAAAGTAATGCACGATTTTAAAAACTAATATTGTATTCGGAATCCCCATGCTCACTTACCCCCCTATGCCAACTCCCAGCCCCGTAGCTCAAATTTTGCAAAAAATCGATAAAATCGATATCGATCGATACGAAAAGTAGCCTATGACACCCGCCGGGGCCCGAAGTGTATGTGTGCCAAGTTTGGTCCCGATCGGTTTAGAAATGAAATTATCTATTCGAAACATACGTACACACAGACATACAGACAGACAGACAGACAGACAGACATACATACAAACAGACATTCAGCTTTATATATAAGATTTTTTAGATTATAGGCATGCAGTGCAGATCTTACAGAAACTTAAATTTAAAACCCGTATTATATTTTTAATGATCAAAAGCGACATTTAACTATTACTTACTTCGGTACCTGGGGCTTCTTTTAAGCAGGTACATAATTGAATTCGACAAAAAATTGAGTTTCTCGCTTATTTCGAAACACAGCTTGTTTTTTGGAGAATAACGTTCATGATATATCAAGATATGATATGTTAACTTGATAGGCTACTTAGGTAGGTATTATTTCTGGTAGGCTAGGCTGTTTCAAAAGTTCTGTCCGATTTTCAGTTGCCTTGTTTTAGCGCAGTTATTTTCTTAGAATTTTGCACTTTTGGCAGTGTCATGACCCCATCTAGAAGCACTTTTCCTGTTCTTTCTAGTGCTTATTAATGCTTGCGAATTAACTTCCCAGTGACAAAGTTTCAAGCCCCTAAGCAAAGGTGCCAAAATGCAGTCATCTAAGAAGAAGTTTCCATGAAGAGATGAAGAGAATTTCCGCAGTATTCGTAGAAGTGAATATGTAATGCTAACTCGGATTCTCATCAGCCGCAAAAGAATCTCTGAAGTATAGGCTACGTAATGATGGCAGCTAATTATGTCTGCCCATCCACATATGGAAGCATGAGTACGTCAAATTGGATTTTTGAAAAAACCTTGCAGAATTCTAAAATTTTCCTCCTCTCACTTGCGTTCCTTACACTACATACTATGCCTGTGATAGCCATGAGATAGCTTAACAAAATTTAATTTGTTTAAAGATGTTGATTTTGAAAAAAGTTGTAAGATTTTAGGTCAAAAATCGCGTATCGGACAGAACTTTTGAAACAACTAGTACCTAGTCAGTAGTCTAAGGCCCCGGGCAGACTTCACGATTTGATCGTCGCGACTGAATCGCGACGAGACAACTGTTACAACATCATTCCATGCCGATCAACTTGCATTTCGGTTCTGATACTTTTCCAGCCCGAAATTTTTGAATGTGAAATGAAAATGAATGGAAATGTCGGCGATTGAGTGCGACGATCAAATCGCGTGAAGTCTGTCCGGGGCCTAAGGTTTTTGGTACGCTATCTACCAAATTATCGTTGATTGACATCCACTACTTATGAAGTTAGATAAGACCATATCTCCTAACCTTCATTGGCAGAAATCCGAGCAACTCAGTACTTTCCACATTAGTATTTAGCGGTTACGAACATATTCGTCACTATTCATTGCTTTGCCCACAGCAGATGAGCTCGCTTAGCCGTTGTAGCAGAGCATGGCTATCGTTCGTACTTTTGCAAGATATTGGCGCCATATGGATGTGCTACACGGGACAGGTTGCACAATTGTTCAAGAATGGCGTTCCCGCTGTTGTTGCAAGGCAGCATTCTGTGGCTATTGCAGTTATGTGTGTGGTAAGGTATGTGACAAACTTTCGAGTAAAAGTCATGTTTGTAAAGTGGTTTGTTTTAGGTTATTTCTTTTGGGGTTTTTCGAATCTAGCGCACTACACGCCTGCCATATTAGCGTTACAATTTTATACATCCTGAGTATGCTAATGGAGATGTTTTATTACGAAACTATAAATACAACAGTGCCAAACGTCGTTCGGGTTGTGGTACAAGGTGAGCACATTTCAAACCTGTGGTTTTGTTCGAAACCTCTATTATTTTAGTGGTGACCGTCGCAGGATTTGCGATGGCACAGCGCTGGCTGTGTGCAATACCTCAAGCAGAACCAGTGCGAAGAAAGGGGCGACTTTTTGCAAAACACTATATGGAGGGACATCTGTTGGATCCGCCTGAAACTGACGAAGTTAGAGAACTGAGGAAGAAACAACTCTGAAGATATTTGCCTGTTATTCTTCTTCAGATATAATTTATTATAGATGTATTTATTGTCTGAGATACAGAACTTGCAGAAAAATAGCTGTCCGTTATTGGTAGTTAGTATGTATTCTCTTCTATTTCCTGTTTTCCACGTCACACCATCTAGAATAACATGTTCAGTTCATATCGTTTCCGATTGAGACGCTGTACTTCACCATGCTCAAGATTTTATTGCTCATTTCTGATCTCATTTCTCATAATCGTTTGGTGCTTTACTTTGCGTAGTTTTTGAGGATGATCTTTTGTGTGTTGAGTGAATACTAAATACATATAAATATTGAATGTGAGTTCAGTCGACATCTGCATCTATGCTCTCCCAAAACCTTGACGCAGGGCACTCGCTTTGCCAGAAGCTTTCCTTCAGAGATTGTCCCGACCACGCTGTGATCTTTGAAGACTTGTCTGAAAATAATTGAAGTGATAAATACTCGCGAAGTTTCGACATAAGCTCGAGGTCGAGCTTTTCGTAGGAACGGAGATGTCGGGAGACCATCTGTCATCCATGACTCCCCACGCTCAAGCTTGCCTGAAGCAGGTGTTGTGGAGGTCGAGTCTATTACAAAAAGAAGAGTCGGACTCTCCTAGGACGACGACGACTACGGAGCTGGTTGGCTGTCGTCACGGCTTAGCTCCATCTCTTACCCCCTCCCCCCTTTTTCTATCAAGTATATACCTTATGTAATAAAACTATTTATAATCATGAGTTATCGAACCTCTTATTCCCGCTCAGGCTCAGGAAAGGGAACTGCAGACCCTTCTTCCTGACACGTCATAGGCAATAAGATAAAGTCTTATAAAAAGCTGCAGTGCTTATGTGCCAACCTATAAAAATCAATTTTTCTACAGAGCAACTATTTTTTCCTAAGGACTTCCGTCTCCCCCCCCCCCTTGGTTTGGGTTGCAAGCCGCGATGTGCATCAACAACGACTGTGTGGTAAGCTTTACTGCAAATTTGTCTATTCAATCAGCTGCACATTTTGAAAAACATATATAATCCTTTCAAACAAACACATGCAAGTAATGGAACAAATATATCGATTTCGAAAATGCGAACAATCCAAGTGTCAAGATAAAGTTTGCAAAATACTGAGTTCATTAAAAATCGTGGAATAACCAATCTTGTAAATATCAAGTTCGGGAAACTTTGAACCCCGGATCACTCGAAACCGAAGAAATTAGTCAAGCCTTAATTTTCTGAAACCGAGATAATTTTGAAAGGGGTTGATTTCAATTATGGAATATTTTGGCATCCGTAGAACCTTCAAATCGTAAATCTCAGCAAATCGAGGGAGTATACATCTTCAGCTTTTCATTAAAGGTAAACTGCTTCTACAATCATAGCCTATGAAATAGTGTTTCAAGAACTGCTGACCTCCACAATTCAAAACTGCGTTATTGTCTGTACGAGCTGTTTCTCATGGTATGAAGCAGCGAATGTTTGTGAAAATGGAATAGTCAAAGCCGCTATCCATATAGCTGACTAGATGAAAAATTTTCCCACGATTTCGGCACAGCTCCTTTAGGAAACTGCAGTGCAGGTACTAAATGTCCATCTGCTCTATTTCTGCCATGTATGGTGCAGCAACTTGAGACAACTTTGTCGTAACTCGATGTAGCGTTAGTAGTTTGCAATGTGGCCTCTATGACCACCAAATACGAATTGTTTGTTCGCCAACTTTATCCTCCTAGCAATGTTGAATCGCCTTCCATGGCTCGAGCGCATGGGAGCTAGAAAGATTTATAAATATATACGTTGAAAAGTTATTCTAAAAAAACACCGAACAATTTTTTCTGTCTTTAGTGACCCTCATCCTTCCCTCGCGTGATCGATAAGTTCGATAAATGTTTCCATCAATCCCTTACTAAGGTAGTGAAAAAATTTTCTCCTGTTTAGAATACAGTATGCATGCACCCTTTTTCAGCATCTTTTCTTGAAATGAACCTTCTTGTGGGCGCTCCGCGCTTAGTCGTGTTCCCTGTGAAGGTTGTCGTCGAGTTCTTTTCTTCACTGTAGGACTGCAATTCCCCGTACTTTACTTTCAGCTACTTTCCCAACTCGTCGACTTCATTCCAGAATTAAAATAAACTGATCTCCCTTACTGCAGAGTTGCTTGAAGTTACACTATCTACCGAGACCTTCCGATAGGTTGGAAGAATCAGTGCTTCCCCAGTATCGTCAAATTTTTCTCTTAGACTGTAAAATTTTACGTTCTGCCTCAGTTAGGAAAAGATGACAAAAAAGACAAAACAATGGCAATAGAGTAGACTGAACGTAAAGAATAAGAAATGTAGAAAAACGTTAACAAATCCGACCAAGGCAAAAAATGATGAGGAGAAGACTAACATATCCGTGTTTGGAGACACTTAAACACGAGAACAGATCAAAGCATCTGGGGAGTATTCGAACAACAACAAAACTGTTTCAGGGCATTTATAACAGATTAAGAGTTACTTATAAAAGTAGAACTAGCTCTATCAACCTTGACCTTGGATGGGTGGCCTCTAGTCAAGTCTCACGGCTGTTCAAAAGTATGTAAGATCAAGAGTTTGTGAAAAAGTGTAACATCGGTGAGAACTTCTGTCCTCCAAGTTCAATGTTGGCGATGTTTTGGCTTGGTCTAAATATGGCAGTTCAAAGGCGTAGCTTTTTGTAGAGAAACCGCCTTGGGGCAAGCATAGCGGCATGTTGCGTGGCTTTCCGCCGCCGTACTCCTATTCCAAAATCCTACTCGCGTGCTATTTTCAGACACTTCGCAAAGGCCAAGTTGTGTTGCTTGACATTCGAGAAGCCACTGCAGAGCATCGTCATTTGATCATCCCTGCTGTCGAATTTATGGCAAAAAGGTGCCGCTCTTTATTTCTATTTTGATACATGTAGTCCAGAGTAAACTCGTTATTATGTTCGAAGCGAGAAATCGTAACACAAGTGCCATTATTGCCAGTAGGGATTATGCTTCAGGACATGAGAGGTAACTGAAGAGTGCGGAGATTAGGAGTTCTGGCATGCACTCTGGTCGATAAGACAAATAAAATGATGAAAAGCAAATCAAACAAGCGAAATAGGAACACTAACAGATGCGCAGAGTATAGGATAGAAAGGGTACTATTCCAGATTACGCCCACACAATCCAAAAATTCAAAACTTCGGATTTTGCTTGAATTCTGCATGCAGGGGCTATTTGACATGACTGTCGCGGATTGGGGTCCCCCGCTCCAGACGTCAGTGGTAACGTGCTCTCCTGCATCGGCGACAGGAGCGGAGGACTCCATCCGTGAGATAGAGTAACGACACGTCTGGAAATGGTAGCTACTTGCGCCACGCTTTTATGGCCTGCCATGAGCTCAACGCACACGAATTAGGGGCCCTAAGCTACCAACCAACCCCCTAATGCCTACTGCTGACCATCTCGAGCCGTTCATTCATGGACATGTGTGTATACTTGCAACTTGAGGCACTAGCATGCATCGTGCCTGGTCTTCCGACGGATGGATCCTTACAAGACATGAGTATACAAGAAACACAACAGCATACAGATATAACTGTGCCAAGGCCTGAGGCTATGGCTACCACAAGAGTCAAAACACCACACCTCTAAGTGCCCACCATTTATCCCTAATTGAACCAAACACACAAGCAACTCAGTACAATGGGCAGAGTACACACCGGCCAAAGATCTCACCTAGGGGTCGGTAAAAAGAAACCCCCCGCGAAGTGGCTCCTCTGCCCTGCGGCAAGAAAGGAGCGCACAGCTGGGTTACCTCGGTGCAGGTGCCAATCCTCCTAGCGTGCAGGTGTTGAACATCGCTGGCTCGAAAGATGCGCTGCTCGAGCGATCAATAGACAGTTGAGGTGTCGACCACTCGCTGCTAGACAAGTGTGGGAGAATGCGTGACTTATGCGAAGTTAGACGTGGGAACGAGAGGCGGGGCAGCGCGAGGACTGGCGTTTTAGGACCCATCGCTTTGCGGTGGCAAACTCCCTATAAGGAAGTCGCGCAATCCGCGACAATGACGGCGGTGCAGGAGGAACCAAAGGCTTGCCGCCTGTAACCGCAGGAGATAATCAAAGGAAGTGTCCAAGCAAAAAGTCGATGTCGAGATTTTGTGCCTACCTGGACCTATTCGCTATGCCGAATCCGAAAATCAACACTGAAGAGCGCGAAAACGGCGAAAAAAAGGCTCTAACGGAGGAGGGAATTTGCAAGTGGGCGGGGCCGTTCACCTAATGACGTTACTCTCCCAGCTTCAGGAACAATCTTCTCGCTTCCGCTAGTCGCCCTAACATCACCACCAGCCAACTGCGAAACGTATGGCATAAAGTCGGAATCGAGAAGATCGCTTCTAGAGCTTGGAAGAGTAACGTCAGGGTATGAACGGCCCCGCCCACCTGTGATTTCCTTCCTGCGTTAGGCCCTTTTTGGGGTTTTCGCGCTCTCCATTGTAATTTATCGGATTCAGCATGGCGAATAGGCCCGAATAAGTACAAAATCTCATAATTGACTTTTTGCTTGGACACTGCCTGAGCACGAGCAACGTAGAGAAAATTTGGCAGGGATCCAAGACTTGGCAAGGATATCTTCTGGAAACAGTTCCTCATAATTCTGCTCCAAACAAATTTTGAAAGATTTGCAAGAGATTTGGAATCAACGTTTGAATGAATTTTTCTTTCGAAATACTCCTCCGGAAAACAATGCTTTCGCCATTTTAACTCTATTTCAATACAGAAAAAACATTATAGAGAAACAAAACTTCTGACCGTCACCGTTGAAAATTGAAAAAGTGAGTTCAATACTCTATGAAAGCGCATTTGTAAGAATTTCAGTTTTTTGAAAGTGTTCATGTTTCAAAATGATGATAACAGTAGACTGGAATTTTACGTGTTCTTACCAAAACTTCAATTACTGTTTCATTTGTTGAGTATATTCTCAAAATCATCGATCAAAGTATCGAAGAAGTTGAAATCAATCCTAGAAAAACTGGTGAAACCGCTGGGCATCGAAACAAGGACTACCCTGAAAAGAGAAAGCGTTTCAATCTTGGTTCCTTCACTAAGCTTCCAGAGGTGTTTTCTATCTATCTCATAAGATGTAGTTTTCTAATTTGAAGCAAAATTACGTGTTGAGGAAAAATTTGAAATGGAAGCCTGACTTTTCGAGAATTTGAAACATGGAGCTTCATAGTGAAGAAAGTGTATATTTTCTAATGAAGTAAATCATTGTTTTAGTTACGAGTAAGTCCACTAAATGCGCCTCTGAATACTGACTGATTTCAAATCTTTCAAGATTTGCTACAAGCATAGTTATGAAGATTTGTTTCTACAGGATATCAGTGCCAGGTTTTCGGGTATACCAAATCTTTTCGGAATTGCTCGTTCTTAATTAGTTCCTGCGGATACATGCGGCAAGGCCTTTGGTTCCTCCTGCACAACCTCCATTTGACATGCTGATTCATGAAAATGATATTCATTCTGCGTGAAAGGACCATTTTAGTGGGGTTACAGTAGGTAGACGGTGTAGGGTTAAAATCTTAGTTTTGGCTAACATTCGGTCTAAGGGGATTATTCGACACGCTGGTCATTCATGAATATCACATCCATTTCTCACTATAGCGCAATATAATGAGGTTAAGGTGGGCTATGCGGTGTGGGTAAAGATTCAGAATTTGCTGTAACCTTTCGTAAGAGTGAGACCGACAAGCTAAACAAATTTATTATTTCATTTGAAAGATTGGTTGATGTGCCTTATGTACCGAAGGTGGCCTTGAAGAGCGCCGTTGGGACAAGGCTAGGCTGTTAACAGGCGACTAGGTGAAAGTCAGATACCTGCCTCCAGAAGTTATAAAGCGACTCCTCACGCTTGCCAAACTTCTATCTTCAAAGAAGTTTTTAAAGGTAGCGTAGCGGCTGTTGTTGATGCCGCATTTTTGCTCCGCCAACAGCTTGAATTTCGCCAGGGGCTTTCGATATGTTGCGTATGGGCGCCTTGTTGGAGTCAACGGAATTTATCAGGTGGTTTACTGGGTGACGGTACTCCTGCGGCAAGACGCGACTGGTCACGTGGTCACGCCAGCAGTCGCTACCGATGGTTGTTCCCGGCGGAATATATCTCACAATCAGCCTAAGGAGTGTCCTGGGGTCCCGCTGGCGTACCTAAACTAGTAAAAACCTGCCGCTCCCTCGTTCGTGGCCTCCCAACAACCACCGATGACGGCGTACCACTCGTCTTCGGTCATACTTCCTCCTCGTCACACAGCTCTCATCAATTTCAAAGACATACCCGAAACCCTCACAGGACAGGGCGAAATATCCTAAAATACTCGCCACAAATATCTCGGAAGTACTGCTTCCGTTGCACGGTGGTATTGTGACCAATTTCAAGCTCGAACTCCTTATCTTCCACCAATCCGAAGTTGTGCAGCCAGAATTAAGAGAGCGCAAAGATTATCATCAACGGAATCGCACTTGTCGAAGAAGGGATTCTTACAGACTCACACTACTGGCGTTGTGGCTGCATTCGGTCCGGTGTGACAAACCCTCCTAATGGCAATATCAAGCCTTCCTGGGTGCAAAGAGGCTCATCGGACGGCGCAAGTGGAACATCTGGGTGTTGCAAGAAGTCCAATCGTTCTGAGCCAGCTCTCAAAATCTTCTTCTTCCATTTCAAGTTTTCGTACACGTGGGCAAGCGTGAAATAGCGCAGTTCTTCCTCCAGCCGGCGGAGCGTCATAGGTAAGGAACACAGCCATATGCCAATGTTAGATTTAAATTAGCACGCATGACCTACAATTAGTATATCTAATGCTTTCGAATACGAGTTTCAACACAGGTAAAAGTAAAAACGGTGACATTCACCTTCGATTCGGCAACTAAAGGAATGCGAGGGGGAGAGGGAAGATCACTCAATGTTGCAGTTAGAAAGAGGTGGAGGGACGGGGCCGAAAACGCCACGTCGAAGTGGCTGACTTTTACCTCAATATTCTGCAGTCTTTCGCACTACGTGATGGACCTATTACTATCCCATATGGCGCTATTCAGCCAAACTAAGAATTTGACCCCATACTCTATACCTGCGAAATAGATGCGATATTCACGATCAGCATGTCAATCAACCCCACAATGCAAAGTTACAGCGAATTCTTGACATGTTGACCCCGCTCCGCATACCACCATCACCCCATCATATGACGCTATGGCAATGGATGTCATATTCATGACCAGTATATCGACTAACCCCCCCCCTTAGATCGAATTTCAGCCAAATTTAAGATTTTGTCTGTACACCGTATACCTACCGTAACCCCGCAAAAGCGGTCCTTTTATGCAAATATATCATTTTCGTGATCAGTATGTTATATGGGGAGACGGTCAAGAGGCGCGATTTTCCTGGCTGTCACCAACTCAAAACTTCAGTATCTTGCTATGGGAGTGTTCAAAAAGTGCCGTACAAAGTCCATCGGCTTACTAGCTGTATGAAGTAACCATTTAATAAGTTCGACGACTTTTGCTAGAAAACTGATCGAAATAATTACAAAATTGCTATAAACTGCATTTTCATGGGTTTTTGGCCTTCAACAATTTTGTTTTGAATCGATTTCAAAATGATAAGATGGAGCAATTCCTGCAATTCTCTAATATACTTCTTTTGAAATTTCAAATAATTCTGCAACTTCTTAAAACACTAAATATGTGCTATATGCTGCCCACCTGGCAATAAGAATCGCGCCTCTTGACATACACCCTGTTATATGTATGTAACCCTGTATGCAAAGTTTTAGCAAAACCCGAAATTCTTAATTTTTAGGCTGCGATTCCGAAATAGCGCCATAGTTTATCAAGCTTGACGTTGATATACACGTACAGTCTGTCTCAATCGGAAACTGGCCGAACCGCTGGCGAAATTTGCGCGCTGATGCTAGAGCGCACTGTCAGAGATGGCCAAGAAATTGAACGAAACAGACAAGCCGCAACCTGACTCAAAATTGCAACGGGGACGCGCATCACTCCAATCTTGGTATGTGGCAGAGCAATGAACAGCTCAATCAGGCAACGCCTGCGCGGGCTGCTGGTCCGGGTAGAGGAACGAACGCCTCAATTCGGCACCGTCGCCGCGGACTGCTGGTCCTTCCGTCCTACTACTGCGCATCGTGTCAGGACCAGCAGTCCGCGGAGGCGGTGTCTAATTGAGGTGCTCGTTCCTCTACTCATTGCCCCGATCCGGATAAGGACAGACTGTAGAGTCGCTCTCATGCAATTTTCATATGCTTAACCCTCCATAAAACCATTTACAGCAAAAGTTAGGAGAAACTTTGTTTCACGAAAAGGAGAAGAGTTTCAAAGCTACCATTTAAGGTAGGATAAAAAAAACCTGCGACTTGAGAATATATCTTCATACTGTAGCTAAGCGATCCCGCATGTGTACGCGCTTTTACACGCTCGAGCCTTTCCAGCCGCGAAATAGTTTTGCTCACCAACTTTTTTTCCATTGCCAGCAGTTTAGTTTTGACTTTTTGCTCAGTGTTTTGTAGTAGATTTGTATGGGGTTTACAAATCATCAGTTTGTTTCCTCGTCTGGAAGTTTCGACAGAATTGCACTGCTATCAGGATTGAACTTCGCTATTTTCCTACTTCATATTGGTTCGAGGGGGAGTGTATCAAGTCTTTGTAGCGCCTTATAATCGTTCAACTTACATCCATCAATTTTATGGAACTGGCTCTGCCGTAAACTGCCCTCAGCGTGACGACTTCGATGGCAAATGTTCTTCAGTTGTTTCTAACCTGACCTGTGCTTCTTCTGCTAAATATCCTTTCAGTGTGAACAAGATTATTTTGCAGGAAATGGCACTGAATCTGATTTCGTCCTATGACAGCGATGATGACACTGACAGTATTGGAAGTGAACCAGTGGATAAGTCGACCACGGATACCGTCAAGCCAGAAGAAGCGCTCTCGTCGGAGAAGGTAGCCAATTGTAATTATTGCTGCAGATCCTCAATTCTTTATTTATCAATCTGTTGCTTTTTGAGATTGGATTCTGTATAGTTTTTTTAGAAGAAATCAATCAAATCCTGCAGTCACTTAGTTGCGCTAAAGAGATTTTTCTGTAATGTGAACTAAAATGCCAACGATCGTTAAGGGACCCGTCATACTTCGCCGAAAGAAGCCCAAAAGCGCTCAAAAAAAGCCCGAAAGCATCAGAAAGAGTCGGTACGCGGAAACGACCTTTTTATAGAATTCTGACATTATTTTGATGGGCAGACGACAGGAAATGAACCAAAAAACTCGGTTGCGAAGTTAACACACATGCCTTAGCGCGAAAACGTGGGCGCGGAAGAGGGCGTTTCGGCTCTTTCTGGCGCTTTTGGGTTTTTTTTGAGCGCTTTTGGGCTTTTTCGGCGAAGTATGACGGGTCCCTAAGGTCGATCGAAGTGCCTATCTAGTCATAGCCAATCTAAATTTTGCAGAAATCATCGTTCTTTTTTGGTGGTGAAGAATCTGGCAGCAGTGATGACGATGGGGATAATCAGTCGAAAAATATTTCGGAACCCTCTGAAAAGCCCAATTCAGGTCAGAAGTGTCATGAATGTTCAAGTTTTTTTCTATTCGTCCAAATGTTTTCTTTCTTCTTGCATCCATTATTTCCTCTACACCTATGTCTCTAGGCACCCGTCGCCTACCAAGTGCGATGTCCGTACTGAAAGGCAAACATGCGGTGAGATTTACAACACTTGTTTTTGAAAGCAGTACTTTTGTTCTCCTTTTTCTCTATATTGGACTACCTATCAATCTGACGTGTGTAATTTCGTTCACTTACATCTTTGTGTTGCTTTCTCATTGCAGGGTTCTAGCGTGTTTTCAAGTGAGCGTGAACAAGAAGATCTCGCACAGCAATTTACCCTCAGTCAGCATGTGCCGTTGACTGAGAAAGTTGAAACAAAGAAAAAGCCTGTTTGCCGGTGGGTTCATACGGTTTTTTTTTCTTGGAAAATTTGAGAAAGTTGTTTACCTTCCTCCTTTCTGGATATCTTTTTCTTGGCAGTAAGAGCTTAGTACAAGGAAAGGTATTTTCCAATTTGATTTCCGCCCTCTAGGTATAGGTACTAACTCGTACCAGTGTAGCTCTACTATAAGCAAATGTACTCCATTCACAGAAGACATGTTTTGGAAACAAAGAAACACTCCCTTAACTTTGCAAGATTATTCTATGTGTGATTCCACTTCTTGTACCAGGCCTTACATTTTAAATACCCACGTTACTCTCCTTTTGTAGGAGCAAGCAGGGACAGAATGTTAGAGTAAGATAAAAAGAAAAAAATTAATCTCTAGGAGCTCTTTGTTCCCCAGTTTTATCCTACAGTATGATAGGCTGTACACACAGCTTATAAAGAAAAGAGGTCATTTTATTATTTTCGGAAGTTCATGCAGTTGTTGCAAGTTATTTTCAGTGCTTTTCAACGTGGCGAATGCAGACGGGGGAATAAATGTCGATTTGCGCATCCAACAGCTCCTCAAGTTCCTAGAGATGCGGCTACAATGGCGGATGCTCCCAGAATGTACAATGCCGATGATATATTTGCCAAAAAAGCTAAAATTGCCTAGTCTTGTTCTGTAAATGTATGTGGATAAATCATTCCATGATATTCCCTCTTTACATGTAGATTTTTACATAAAAACGCTCCATTTTCGGGGGAAAAAACAGTTTTTCGAACTTTATAGTAGAAAAATTCATAAGAATTCTGCAGTTGGAATGAAAAATGGCATCGAGGACCCGATTTGGATCCACTGTGATCATGTACAAGAAAAGTGTGAACGAGGGCAGAAAGTGCAAAACTTCATGGAGATATGGGGAATTGAACCCCAGACCTCTCCCATGCTAAGGGAGCGCTCTACCACTGAGCTATATCCCCAACCACTCCAACAACTTTCGACATTTCCTACATTCCTTTACCATTTCAACCTTGTAGCAGCGATTATAAAACATGATTTGGTATTCACAGTAAAACTCAGGAACTCATTCTTTACGAAATTTCAAAATTAGCTCCAGTTTGGAAAAATCATCCAAGTTCTATAGGGTAGCGCACGTTTGGCCATTGAGAGAGGCGAGCTACGCCAGCGTTGCCAATCCAATAATAGTCGGGCCGAAAATGTCAGCGCACGCTCAATATTCCAATGATGGTCATGTTGTGCGAAGTCGCGCAATATACGCCGCTTTTTTCGCGACGTGTCCCGCATAGTTAGGGCAAGTCCGAGCTATGATGAGAATTCCACATGCCGTTTACCCGTCAGAGTGCGCTGTGGTGAGAATTTTTCGTTGGAACTGAGCTAAAAACATTCATTTTGGAAGGTGTGCAGAGGATACATAAGGCTGCAGGATATAAGTCCCAAAAGAAGAAGTGTAGTATATGTTTTGATAGAAAAACTATTACAAAAGTGCATTTGATTCTAACAGAAATAGTAGCAAAATGGAAATGTTATAGTTAAATGCAAAATATAGCAGGACAAAAAATGTCAAACTGAACCATTCACTTTCAGTTTTCACAGGAGTTATTTGTGTGTGTAAAGCGAAGTTCTTCTGTCATCATTCGTACAAAGCGGACGCTTACCACAATCAAAAATGACCTTTTTAAGCATTTGTTCGTTAGAATAAGCAACGGGATTCTCTCGAAATTGCGAAGAAAATTATAAATTTCCATTTTACCCACAGATGAACTTTTCCAATGTTTGTTCCATTCTGAGCCGTCACATGTTAAACTGTACTTCTGATAGACTCTATGATTTATGATGGTAATCTCAGCAAGGATTGTTCCACTTTTCAAGTTCATCTTACTCCGACCACACTTGTTTTAATAAGATGATACTAAATGTTTCTAATCTTTGTAAATGAAGCAGACTGAGTAGATCCAATCCAAAATATCCTATCTATCCAATGATTTCAAAATAAACACCATTTTCATCCCACAAATTTCTCATAAGCTCAATGGGAGCGGTATGCAAGTTGTCATAAGGAAACATAATCCCTTTATTCATTCTCTTAATTTTTTTATGTACAGAGGAAAACAAACGCCAAACCATTGCTTTGTACATCAGAATCTTTCCCATGAATTTTCCTTCCTCTTCAGCTAAAATGGTGGAATATCGCATAATACGATATATAGTGATTTAAGGCGCATAACTTATTTTTTTGAATTTTAGGCAAATTTCTCATCGTAAACAAAGAAAAGAGAAGCTTCGCTTGTTGCTGTATTTCTACACTACATATGTATGACGTATAGTCCGTAACTGCTTTGTCTGCTCATTAGTGGCATAATTCCAGAAAAAATTGAACAAACATCACATAGTTAAAAGTGATGAAAACACTTGGAAAATCGTCCAACCCTTCCTACTTCATTCTTATCGTTTTGAGAGAAGATTTTTCAATTATCTAGTGTCTTTCAAAACGTTAATTCACAATCAAACATGGTATAAAGTCATCTACCATTTGTTTCCGTGAGGTCTGCAAAATAAAATCAATTAGAAAGCAAATACCGGTTATATTAGTTTGTTGCCGAGATGACAAACAAAGTAGAACAATAATAGTTTTTGATTTCAACTCACTCCTTACTCAACCAAGAGAGACATTTTAGTCGGAGCAAATTTGCGTCATCAGCTGTTCATTTTGTTCGTTCGGATGGAGCTTTTGCACTGACCTTGGGTCGCTTTTTCTGCCACTCGGCAAACATAGAGCGCTGCTATCGCAACGATCTTTGAGCTATACTGGAGGGGCGCTATCAAACAGATTACTCAGTGCCAAAGAAAATATTTTTTCATGGTCTGCTATTAGTTTCTTCAACATCCTTGGCATCTATTGTACATTTCTCATGGTCAATTTTCAAAAATCCGGTTATTTTGATCCATCGTTTCACTTCAAAGTGCAGTTGTCCTGCGTGGGTCATGAAATTCATGACCATATTATCTACTGCATATTTCGTTATTGTATGAGAAATTTATTTTTTGGGTTTTGCTGCATGTGGATGGCAAGCGCCTAATGAGAAACTTGTTCATACTAATATTTCCTTGGCGTGATATGTGCAATTACACAGGAACGCGGGGAATATATCTCGAATTGAGCTGGTTTTGGCACTTATCTTAAGCAAAACTACTCGTTCGATAAATGCAAGAAAAACTTGAGAAATAAAACGACTAAAAGATGCGCGAAAAAGCACATCGTACTGGGTTTTCCGCGTATTCACGTGATGTTGTGTAATTGCACACAAATCAAAAACGTCCACTCATCTATATACTATTTGTAAAAGCGGACAGTATGTGTCCTCACATGAAGGATCATAAGGATCATTAAATGTAAAATTTGGAAGGATAAATCAATTCTTGATTTGCAGGCGATATGCTGTTTGAGATTGCTAACGTCTTCCTGTTATTGTTTCTCCTCTATCACATCTACTGGAAGCGGAGAAACTTACCGCCAGGTAAGCGCCTTATTACCCGAACTTTCAATAATCTAGTCCTTGTATCGATGTAGATATTGCGTTAGGTGACATTTGATTTTTTAATTCTCAAATATCTGCCCTCAAAGGCTATATATGGACAAGTATTTCAACAACTTCAGCTTTTCGAAATCGTAAGCGGAATTATAGATAAATGAGAAAAACTGTTGCTGCTCAAGTCATAGTATAACTTGTATGTCGCTATAATGTTATAAAGAATTCATTCTTATGTCCACATTTGGAAGGAAAATTTGAGAATCAAATATGATATTTGGAAACACCTGAGTTGAACACTTAAACAAAAAAGCGCAAAAGCCTCGAAAATCTGAAAAATACGTGAAAACCAGCAATTTAGGCCCTACACCCTTACCATTCGTCGGAAATCTACTAACAATGTTGCGGCATGAACCTGGTTATAGCGCTTATGAAATGTGGAAGAAGAAATATGGACCAGTCTATACGTTTTGGATGGGTAGGTAGGCAATTTATTTTCGTATTTTTGTTGGGATAGAAAGGCAGAGTAATCGATTTTGTACATTTATTTCTCAATAGTGCACCAGAGTATTCTTTGCTGTATCATCCTTTGATAGCTTTTAGGGTCTTACCCTTTTATCATGATAAGCGACTATCCCACACTGAAAGAGACATTTGTCAAAGATGGCGATGCATATGCTGGAAAATTCCATTTGGAGGAAATTACTCGAATATACAGAGGTATGTGTCGGTATCCCACTGAACAAGGAAGCACATAAGAATTTTTAAGGTGGAGCATACGGTATCGTGGATACGGTAGGCGATGTATGGCGTGATCACAGAAGATTCGCGATACATGTATTGAGAGATTTCGGACTTGGCAAGAATGGAATGGAACAGAGAGTGGGTGCAAATTATTCACAGGAACAGGGGTCTCAAAAAGTATCGCCAGAGACCATTCTTATGGTTAGGCCTAAAATGGGGAGTAACATTCAAGACAGTGGTAAGAAGCATGTGGATTAGCCGAATAAAAAGGACGTGGTTTCCAGAGATTTGCTTGAAATCAAAGAATAAATTTGGATTTAAGAAAAAGATTGAAGAATTTCATTATAAGTATTAGAATTATGGATTTGATTTTCGTATACTTTTCCTACCATCAATCAGACGTGAAGTGAGTACCCTTAGGCCAACTTTATGAATATCATGTAGTGAAATTTATTCAATGAACTTTTTACCCATAGAAATTCAAGAAACCTTACACCAAAGAGGGAAGGGTTTTGGAACAATGGACATGAATTTCTTGCCGTTGAAGTTTGCCGGAGAAAGTAAGATGAAAATGCTGGGAAGCTGGCTTTATTGTTCAAATCTTTCTCTTCGCATACACAACTCAACAGAAATGAATGAAGTAAACAAAACGCGTTGCTGTAATTTTGTCCATTTATAGAAATTTTCTATCCGTTTCACCAGAAGTCATATTCAAAGGATTCTCACAGTTTTGATACGTTTTTTAAGTGTACCTTTCTCAGGTTCTCATGGAAGTGGAAGCTATGACAGATACTTTGGAAGCGCAGCAAGACAAGGAAGTTAATCTACAGGTCCATCCAATCATTCAGCATCCTTTATTTTATTAAATGATTAACAAAGATTAATCGGTATAAGCCTTTAGGATGTGTTTGATGTGGCTGTTGGGTCAGTTATCAATCAATTACTGTTTGGTTATCGTTTCGATGAGGTAAGTCGTGAATGCTCCACAAATGTCCCCATTTGCTCGTGATAATAATAAAATCAGCAACCCTCAAGAAAATGAGATACAACTGAACGTTGTGATGAAATTTACGTCGGTTGCAGGAGCATGTTGGAGAATTTCGAGATCTAAAAACTATAATCTCGGCCCAAAGGCGAGATTTTGCACATCCATCTGCTAGTATTGTCTTTCTTTATCCATGGCTTGGAAAGCTGCCATACTTTAAGGATTTACTCAAGACGTAAGTATCCCATGACCTTTAGTTTCCAAATATAAAGTCATTTGTTCCAGGCTGATTAGTTATCGTGACAAATTTTACTCATTTTTCGACAAACAAATCTCAGAACATAAGAAAAATATGAACTACGATACAGACGAAGCACATGATTATGTAGAAGCATATTTAAAGGAACAAAAACGAAGAGAGGCTGAAGGAGATAAGGAATCTTTCAGGTAGAGAACATTATTTCAAAAAATCTTGTTTACGTTTTACATTAAGTCACATCCAACTAACAAATGTTTGCTTGGATTTGTGGTTTGCTGGTATGGAAACAACATCGAATACTCTCTCTTGGGGTGCAATCTACCTCCTAAATCATCTAGAAGTCCAGGTGAACTATTTGCCAAATAATAGAAATTTTTATAATATTAGCATCTGAGGCTTTAGGACAAAATGCACGAAGAGCTGGATCGAGTGATCGGGTCAAATCGAGCTATCACAATGGCTGACAAGAATAATCTACCCTACGTCAATGCAGTAATCAATGTGAGTATGTAAAGCACATTTCTAATTTTACAAAGAATCATGCGATTAGGTAATCTGCATATTCAGACAGCTATTGCATTAGTTGCTTCTAAGAAAAAATTTATTCATTTCTCATGCCAGAAGTCCAATGTTACTGACTCAGGGACTCGCGCCGAGCGGGCGGCCAGCGACAACCTTACAATCGCTCGTCGGTGTGTGCGATTGTATGGTCGTCAAGGGCCGTTGGCACGGTTAACATGGGGCGCCCGAAGGGTCTCTAGTGCTCGCCGCTTGCGCGGGAAAGGTCGGCCGCTCGCTTGCTGTTGGAGTAAATGTATATGGGATATTTTGACCAATTTTTCTTGGATAGATCAATCTTTTCACATTTTGGACACATGGATCGAAGCCTGCAGCACTGGCCAAACTTTTCGTGGGGAAGCCCACACCATCACTCTTGATAACTGTAGCCTCCCACACAGGTTCATTTCAGCCTTGCTGGTGAAAGAAGATGTTGATAACACGATATGTCAACGCTTAGCCAGCCTAAACACTGCGTCGTATCTCACGCAGGTACCGTTTACGCTCACAGTGTGTGGGCCGCTTGCACGGCAACAGGTATTGCCGACCGATAAGACGGACGCATTGCTGGCCGCTCGCTCGAGCAACCGTATTGCATGCCGTTTGCACGGTAACATTGCCTGCCGCTAGGACGGCGCTTCGGCTGTTTGCCGCACGCACGGAAGCTTTAGGCTTATGTCGTCCGCTTGTACGCTAGCCCTTATAAAAGGACCGCTCGCACGGCGCGAATCCATGAGGATGCAAATAAGAGTAATATTAGGTTGTCCCATAAGTCTTTCATTTTTGAGTTTTCGTTGTGATAAGTCATATGCTTGTTATTCTTAATAGACATCAGGATACCATTCGATAGAGCAAAGCAAGCTCTATAAGACGGCATTTGTGCTTTTGCACCAGCGATCCACCTCAAGTTCGAAATTAAAATCTAAAAAGTTTCGGATGCCCAGATAACTGAAAATTTTTTATATCTTCATTCAGAAAAGTCCTACAGATCTCCCACACGCTCACGAATAAACACTCCACATCAGACAGTAATATGTTCTGTTGCTGTCTTTTTTTGGCTAGAAATCAAGGAACCGAAAATTTCCATGTTTTTACCAAAGTGAAGTTGTGCTTTTCTTACACTAATAGTTGTATACTACAAGCCCTCAGAAGTACAATTGTAAATTTCCAGCTCTCTATAAGCTCTAGTTTCTGAGAAATATCGAATTTAGCTTTCCTCACTCAGGTTTTTCACGTTTAACTCAACATTTCTCAGAAACCAGAGCTTATATAAAGCTGAAAATTTACGATCGTACTTCTAAGGGGCCGAAGTATACAACTGTTAGTATAAGAAGAGCACAGCATCACTTTGGTAAAAACATGGAAATTTTCGGTTTTTTGATTTATAGCCAATAAAAAACTACAGCAACAGCACAAATGAGTGTCTGATGTGGAGTGTTTATGCAAGAGCGAGTGAGAGATTTGTAGGACTTTTCTGAATAAAGATATTTAAAAAATTTGATTTTTTGGGCATCCGAAACTTATTAGATTTTGGTTTCAAACTTGAGGTGGATCGAAGCTGGTGCAAAAGCACAAACGCCACCTTATAGAGCTTGCTTTGCTCTATCGAATGGTATCCTGATGTCTATCTAGAATAACAAGTGTACGACTTAACACAGCGAAAACTCAAAAAATGAAAAGACTTATGGGACAACCTAATAATTGATCAAAGGATCCAAGTGCAGACGCTCTGAAATTACTCAGAATGGATATAGGAATTCCTTTGAGTCTTGGATATCGTACTGCTTGTTTAAATAAGTTTTTATTAAATGCCTCTTTTTATTTATAGATTATTTTACTCTACTTCTTGCTTATATATAGATAGATGCTCATCTGGAATTTCCGGGATATTTCAAGCATGTGTAGAGTTTGGAAAATTTCCATTCTATAGAGTTAGTTAAATTTTTTTATATAATTTTTTCACGTTGTATTATCATAGATTTGATTCATTTTCATTTATTAGGTTGGCGGATAATTTCTGTTACACTTTTAATTTTATTGCGCAAAACATCCACTTTATCGGTGGGAGTACATTTTATGGACATTTTTGTCAGCGGGCTGGCATTATTCCAGGTGGCTGGGAAGAGATGGGGCGATGGGGTATGCAGGCAGGGTATGGTTCATAGTTTTTGGCGGACATACTCAGACAATCGCCGGGGGCAGGCGGCCACCGGAAAAATAGATTGCTAATTTCTCGCACCCCGCTCGCGGATTTTTTGGAGAGCAATCAGGACTTTTCGGAAGACCGTTTGCTGAGTCAGCGGATTTTTGAGAGACCGCCTGTTGAATTTTTTTCCGCTCTTATTTCTTGCAGAAATATTTCTGAACCTCTGAGGAATCGAGAACTCAGCAAGCGGTCTTCCGAAAAGTCCTGATTGCTTTCCAAAAAATCCGCGAGCGGGGTGCGAGAGATCAGCAATCTATTTTTCCGGTGCCCGCCTGCCCCCGGCGATTGTCTGAGTAGGGGAATGGCACAATCATGTCCGCAGGGGATCACTTGAGCTACGTGTTGCACCATGTCAGCGCACATTGACATTTTGACATGAAGAACATTCTTTAAAAATTTACAAAAATTATTTCCAACCTTTCCTCAAATCCAACACCATGCACACAAAAAGAATTTTCGACAAATTTTTGATTTTTTGAGTTGTTTTTTCACCCCTTGTTTTTGGCATGCTAGCGGCACCAAAGTGCTACCATAAAAGAGAGGATGCGAAAATATGTCTCAAAAAATTGTGGGAGAGAAAAAACACGATTAGAAGCAGAGAAAAAATCAAAGAAAAAATGACAATTTTGAGTGTGCTTATAAAGTTGTCGTAAAGTTGCTGGCTAATTGTGCATTTGCGGCACCAGTCATACCGTTGTGTACGCTCTGCCGTGGCCTACATATGGAGCAAGTTCGAAGATTCTAGAGAACTTCTGGAAATTTTCACAATTTCACGAAAAAAGTGTAACAGAAATTATCCGCCAACCTAATATTATATGGTTTTACAATATTATATTTTTACAACTACATCCGTACTCTGTCAATATTTTGAATGAGAATAGGCGCACTCTAATCGGTGGATAAATACAATGATAAGTAGATTTGGTATCATGTATGGGAAATTTGAGCAAAAAAACCCTTAAGAAATTAGTATCTGTACATTTTATTAGTAAAATGGATCCTTTACTTTTTGCAAAGATGAGTGGAATTTTTTTCTTTTTGGGAAACCCAGCGAATGGCTAATCTCCTTCCCATGAACTTACCTCACGAGCTGATGCGTGACGTTCAAATTGGAAAATGGCACATTCCGGCAGGAACCGGTGTGATTGGTCAGATTAGCAATGTTCTTTATGACGAGGAGGTAAAGTACTTTATTTAGAGAGAGACAAAGAGGGCTTGTAAAATTACCTCTCTAGGTTTTTGATGATCCGCTCGTGTTCAATCCCAACAGATTTATCGATGACAACTGCAAGCTGAAGAAGGTAATTACCAGATGATTACAATCAGCTGCAAAAGGATTCAACAATTTTCTCAGGTTGATGAGTTAATACCGTTTTCTATCGGAAAAAGACAATGTTTGGGTGAAGGTCTTGCAAGAATGGAGCTTTTCCTTTTTGTTGCGAATCTAATCAATCGCTTCAAGGTAAGAGAACTATCTGACTAAGTACGTTTCTTGATTTTGCTCCATTTTCAGCTCTCGCCTGTGGATCCTAATGACCCACCCACCATGAAAAAAACCTTTGGAACAACTGTCCAACCGAGAGAATATCGGTGTTTTGTAAAGTCTAGACAATAGTAGTCTGGAAAGGACTAAATTAAGAATGAGTTAGAAAAGTCTACCTTATACCCGCTCAAGCTGTATACCTCAGCCACTGCTTCTCTAAAGTTGTGAATATTGATTAATTATGTGACAACTCATATTGTAAGTAGTTGGAGAAGCACTTCTCAAAGTATTGCAGTGTTTTTAGAAAATACCAAATGCATCTTCCAGTGGCGGTCTTAAAAGCTTCAAAGGAGAAGGGAGGGTTCGTAATTGCTCTAAATGAAGAGCATACAGTAATCAATCCCCGCAAGACTTGTAAGCTTTTATATATCTGGAAGACAGGTAAAACTTTGTTTGAGTGGTTGGACAAAACAAAGCGCAAATTTTTCGAGAAAGTGGATCTACTTCATAGAGTTTTTCGTGGAAATATAAGTGCAAACTCTTGTCTAGGTCGGTTGAAACGGGATTTTTTATTCAGGAACATACGCACACACATACAGACAGACACAAGAACAGACATTCAGCTTTATATATAAGTTTCTGTTCGCTATGACACGACTAGGAGCACTGACAATGCCATTATCTTATTAAGCAGTGTCAGAAGTCACTCCTTAGTAAGTTAAAGCAGCAGTTTTGTGCGCGAATCTCTGTGCCAAATATAGTCGCTTCATTTCATATGATCATGTGTGTCACTGCACACACAGTTCCCTTTGGCGTCCCCATCCTGGATTCGTGGGAGAAACAAGCCTTCAGGTAAGTGTTTCCAAGGTGTTCTTAGCATTTTCTTTCCTTTTTAGTTACTAGTCACCTCAAATTGATGTAATCGATAACAATCGGTAAGTCTCTTGCGTTTTTGCGATTGCAAATCCAGGATGAGGACGCCAAAGTGGACTGTGTGTGCAATGGCACGCATGATCATATGAAATGAAGCGACTGTACAAGCGCAGTTTCTCGTCTTTTATCAAATTCTAGCAGCTTTAACGGGCTATTCAAACTCACTCATGATCTAACAATAAGAAGAGGTTAGTTGAGAAATGCCGTCTTTAGTTCTAAAAGAAAATGTCAAAAAGACCTTGTTTTAGTCCCAAAAGGGCTATAAAACGCAAGTTTTCCTTTTTACTGGGATACTTTTGAAGACTTTTTCGCTATACAAACACAACCTTCACGTAAAAAAAAGAAGTCATTGGAGCGAATTCCCTGATGTTGACTCACAACTAAATCATGAAGCTCATTATATCGCCCACAGTGAACAGATACAAGAGAACATGGCTCTATGTGGGGCCATGTTCTCTTGTAGAGAACGGCAGTATGTAGGCCATACTCTATGTAGAGTATGGGCCTAGATTTCAGGTACGCGTAGCAGAGTGCCGGAAAACGGTTGAGCTGAACGTGGGCGCGAAGATCCGAGTCTGTCATTGGTCTGTGGCTTCCCTCAGATTCTCAAAATCATACTAGGCTGCTCTTCTTCTCCTGTTAGTTTTTTCCCAAATCGGTCTCCATGTTTATCAGACGTAGGGACCATTTTATTGCAAAATGTTTGATCTATAGATTAACACATTATTAGAAAATCGGTAAAATTGAACCAGGTTGGAACAATCACAACTTTGACGATTACCTAACCTTTCATAAAAAAAGCAGTGTGAGAACTTAGTTGCTAAAGCTTTCTAAAAACCTCCTAATGTTTGTCTGTCATTATCCTGAGGTCAAAGACAAGTCAATACGGCATAATCTCTCAAAGGCGTTACCTTGTAAAACACTGTTGCTTAAAGTTTTATTTATTCAGAACGGCAGTTTTGGTAGACAATTGTGGAACTTGTCCGAGTTTCCTGAAGTGTATTTTATGTCGATATCCGAACAAAGTGAGCATTTGAGCTTGGATATTTCACATTTGAGTTCTGGCGATAAACAGGTAACATCGATTTTATCGCCATGCTGAAAACATATGACTATCCGTGCGCATGTATCTGACTCAACGTGATTACTTTCACCCAATTGAATAAGCGTGCTCAATAAAACATTAAGTAAATCTGTCTTTTGGCATAAAAGGTCTCTAACTTTTGTTGCTTTAGACAGAATAACTTGTCGAATTCCACTGAAAAAAGCAAAATTCCTCTTTGGATTTCCTGTGGTGGAAGCAAAGGTCATGTTTTGAAGACCCAGCTCTTGTAAAAATGCAGACCCATCTTACGAGGAAATGGTCAGAACTCAAACCTAGCCATTCCAGACAAGCTGTATATCATCGGGCTTGTCTTAAAGCGCTGATTTCAAATATATGTTTTTTGTCTGCCAAGCGATTATCTGGGAGGAATTATAAGTATTCATGTATGAGAGATTCTTCAAGTTTTGACGAATATATCTACTTAGAAGGAAGCCTGATGGCGCGGATTTACAGTGGCTGTGGTTATTTCAATTACAAGGAAGAAGCACATATACTGAAAACCTAAATAAGTGATTTTGAAACCTATTTCGTGGGCTACAACGCTTAACAAATCGCACATTTCAGCGCTCATAATTTCTCCCAGATAGGCGCTTGGCAGATAATAAGCATATAATTGTGATCAGCGTTTTAAGACGAGTCCGATGATACACAGCATGTTTAGTATGGCTGGGTTAAGTTCTGACCACTCCCTCTTATCATCTATTAGGTTGGTGCAAAAGTAATGGCCGATTTTCCAAACCTTTTTTCAGGGCAACTTTTTTACAACAATACTTCTTCTTTACAATGAATGTAGTACACCGTCGCGAAGCTGTTTCCATGCTCTATCTAACGGTGCTTGAAACGTGCTCTCATCCTCATCTGTTATAAAGTTACTGAGCTTCAAATAACCGCATCCAAATTCAGAATTTTATTGCTTTCACTTTTCCGGCCAGAATTCAAGCGCGTATCAATGGGATTTCTTCGAAAATTTAGCTATTGTATGTAATAGAAATTGTCTACATTACGCATACTTGACTGTGTTCCTTGAGGCTAAACAGACTAAGATATCGGCGCCTAAACATGGGTAGCTGTTGCGGTCATTTTATTACCCATAATTTTCTTCTGAAGAAGTCAATCGCCGGAGCTTTGCTCAATTCTGTAAGCGTAGGGCTAGGGCATCCTGTTAGCAGTTTTTGCAAAAACATCCAGCTGTTCAGTACCTAGAAAATCAAAAAATTCTATATTCGGGACTTTGAGGCACACTGAAAAAATGTTCAAAAAAGTGAGAAATTTCATCAATTTTTTTTCTTTTTCGCAAACTTTTCTGTCCGAATTCTTTTTATTGCGTTTTGTACTACTGGCTTGCGGCTACAAGATAGGCTACTTAACATTTATACTAACACACTTTGAAGGAAGATATGAATTGTCAAAGACAAGGTTCTAGCAGAAGAACCTTTTTTATTTTTCAATCCATATTTTTCTGCCCGTTCGTGATATGAGTATAAATAAATGTGCGCTGCATTGCAGAAGGTTTGCTGCTTCTGATAGTTTCTACCGCATTCGGAATTGTGAATTCTTCCAAAAGTTATAGCACGAATGAGAATTCGCAAATCGGCCATTACTTTTGCACCAACCTAATAGTTAGGTGGCAAAGCTGAAGAGGTTGCAGAAATTTGCGTAAGCAATATAAGTTTTTGCGACCCATCCAGTTAAGCTAGCAAAATGTTCTGTCAAATGTTACTAAAATCACAATTTTTTTACAGGAAAACACGGCGGCAATAATAACTGCCTTTTTGCGGGAGCCGTTGACCTCCACGGACGTTTTATAGTCAAAACCAGGAGCTCATAGAGCTCAGTTGTAAACGATGCTAAACTCTACTTTTGAGAGAGGACAGTTTCCGATTTAGCTAAGAAGCTGCAAAGAAAAAAACCTCGTTTTCAAAAGCTAAGTTTGGACGAGTTTCAGTTATGACCGTTGCATTCATGACTTTTGCGCAGAACTATTGAGAGAAACCTAATCTGTTCTATCATTGACCATGATTTTTCATATGACTAGGATGTATCACGCTTATTTGAAGACGCAGTGATGGAGCTCTTGCTCCCGCGAACTTTACAGCACGGTACATTGAAAAAGAAAAACTCACCACACTCCTTTCCTCCCTCTCCTGTATTGCGTTTATTAGCGAAAGCATATTCGCATTCAAACAGACCATGTTGTTGATTGGAATCAATGGAGTGATAACATTAGCAGCACTAAAATTTGCGCATTTTATATCATCACATTTTGCTGGATTTAGTTAGATCAGCATTATGTGAATTATGAAAAAATCGTAAGTTGTACCTCTAAACAACCTGCAGAGAAATTGACGGAAACATCTTCTCTGAAAAGATCCCTTATCTCACACACTAAACAAACTTCACGAATATCAGTGAGTGTTGCTTAACAAGACTTATAATAAGTGGAGTAGTAAGCTGTTATTTTGATGCTATGATGTGCGGAAGAGCCATTCTTTGAAGGAAATTAAGAAATTGAATGCCAATGAATTTGAAAACATGATGATTCTCGAGACGCTATTGAATTCGAAAAAACAATAATTGTGATTGACTTACCCTAATTTCACGCGTACAAGGCGCGGGGGAATTTTTTTCCAAAATCGACCAGCCCAAACGCGCCAAAGAACTTCGCAACCAAAGGACCCTATGCCTTGCTATATATTGCTTAAGAGAATCGTACGGCATAAGGATTGTTCTCCGAAATAATTTAAAGCGGCTGAGGGGCTTAGTCGAAAAATCGAAAAAGGTGCGCCTTGTACGCGTGAAATTAGGGTACTAAGAGTTTTTTGAGTACTCGCGGCGGACACCTGGGACAGTAGTGTCCCCCCCCCCCGTTTGGAGGCAACTCAGCGCAAGGTCGTCAAAATTTATGACATTCAAAGCGTAAAACCCCTCTTCAGAAAAAAATGCCTGGTTGAGAATGTCATAGCGAATATGAACAAACCTGGAGGATTTTCGAACCCTTCTTCTCCCCATAAAATATCGAGAAAAGTATGATCTGTTACCGGCTACCGAGCTAACCTGCTGGCAAACTTCCGGCACCTTGTCGAAAGGTGGGAGCTGCCGGCAGTTTAGAGAGCATAAGAAATAGTGTGCTCTTCTGAGTGAGAAATTGCCGGCACCTTGGCCCTCTTGTCGAGATGCTGGCACTTTGCCGGCGGCGTCTGTGAGCTTGGGTTGCACAATTAGCGTCTCAAATAGCAGTACGAATTTTACGAATTACAGTACGACAAAATTTTCTCTCCCCAAATGGTTGTTTTTGTCATTCGCGTTCTTAATCAAATTTGTGATGAGTATGAAAGAGAAATCAATTCCATTGAGAAACACTCGAACTTCATTTGCCCAGATATAAAAAGGCTTTTAAAACGATATAACAAGAATACCTCTTCGGCGTGATCGAAACATGGAGGGAGTTTCTCTGAACTGATAGTTGCACGGTGTAGGACGTCAGGCCTTTAGCTACCATCTTCCTTTTAAACTCTTGCAAGTGAGGATTTACTTCTTTCTCTATTGCCCGAACAGCCTATATAAGTGAGTAGAGACGCCGCATGTCTTCAACCAAAAGATCTGTTCTCACTAGTTTCTTGAGTTTTTTGTCGATTAAGCGGGCCAGGAATTTCTTGATTAAGTTCAATATTTTGATGGGGCCATGGAATTTGAGTCTCAAGTTTGAGTCCAAGTCAACTTTTGGAGTGAAACTGAAATCGCTCCACGACAGTCTTGCGTCAATATTCAGTCTATCGGTCGTCCCCCTGAATATGCAGAATACTTCAATAAGATTGAAAATTCTTTTTTACTCACATCACGTCTCCAGATCCCGATGTTACGAAAAGTAGTCTAAATTTCGCTCTTGCACGTGCTTCTAGTTGTGCTCCTTTTATCTCAATAACATTTTATGGAGACTGAGAAGAAAGATGGTAATAATAATTATACTACCTTAATGTACACTCCGTTTCTCATGTTTTCGAACGAAACACCAGATCTGGGCACCTTGAACTTTGTAAACTTGATGTTCCAGGCTTTGAACATGTACCACCATTTCTGCGAGAACAATTTTAAGGAAAATTCCACAAATCATTTAAATGTTTGCGAACCCTATCACCGACTTCCGGAACCTCAATTGACTTTACTGCATCCTCTATGACGGTAGCCTTCGTTTCGAGAAGATTCCAAACTTTGGGAGATATTGTCAAAGCGAGAGGCTCGTTGACGTTGAACGGTTTTATGTTGTGAGAGCTTCAAAGTTCAGTTATTCGCGTATTTCACAAAAAATGAAATATGGAATTGATTTGCTTGTAAGATGTGCTAGGTGAAGAATATGAGGATCAAAGAAGCCCACATCTACGTTCAAGATCAAATACCAAGGAGTGTATGTACCTCGCTGAAGAGGGAGATGCAGCTGAGAAGGGGCGCGTCTCTCTCGCCGCTGTAAGGGTTGAGCCAGACTGCTCAGCGTAACGCCTCAATTCTAATCCAACCGCAAGTGTCGGTTTCTTTTTTGTCTGTCTTTCTTGAAAAGGCCCCTGATAATTGAGCATAATGGATGCCAAAACATCGCCATACAAGCTGGACATTGTTGTTTTGCGTAATTCCCTGGGGATCTTTAGAAATCCAGCTCATGTTTTCGAATGCCTATGTTGCAATAAACTGAAAACGTCGTGAATTGTACTGAGGATCTATTACAACTGCTCGGCATTGAGCAGTTGGAATGTGGCTGGAGATCTTTGATAAAACCTCAGCTTGCGAGCGATGGCTTATCAAATTTTGATAACTCTGAGATTGTTGATATTTATTTATTTATTTATTTATTTATGTATACACACACATGGTGTTCCAAAAGTAAAACAACAAAGGTAACATAAGCGGACCGTCTGGACAGAATACAATGATCGTCCTCCTGGTTCTTCAGGTCGTTCTCCTCCTTCGAACGATGAGGGGTACCTTTGCCGAGCTCCTGTTCCCATGCCCGAACGCAACATCATGACGTCACAATTACCAGGGCTTGGCTGACTAACTTAACCCGGAACGGACGAATCCGTCAGGGACCCTGGGCGAGCGGGGTGGGGGGATCTCAAGGTAAAGGGCTCATCAGTCGTCGATATCATCAAACGGCTAACATACGAAGAAGCGATCTAAATTCTGCCGAAAAGGGTGCAATAGGGCATTAGGAGAAAACTTTTTTTAGTGCTAGGTATTGAGAAAAATATGCAAAAATTCCAAAGATCTGCCGTAAATAGCCAAAAACTGTTGAGCCAGTTGCAAAAAAATCATAACAAAAAATCAAACGAAAGTTGGGAAAGACTGAGGTAGATGCGGCGCCATTAAAGAGGCAACGCAATTATCACACATCGGAAATATTCAAAACTTCTAAAACGTTGACAGAGTTTAACTTTCTGCGAAATTCCAAAGAGCTTTTGGAAGAAGTTATGTCTTTCGGTAATAGACTTATCCATCTAGCAGTCCGACAAACGAAAGAGTTGAATGCAGTAGAAAAAATCTTGGATCCCAGTTTACGATATCCCAAAGCAAACCCTACCGCTCGACTACGACATGGCCTAAAAACCCAGTATCTACTGGGTACAAGCCTGGTCTCCAGTCGCAAAATGCGAAAACAGAAGACCAGGTCGTGGCACACGCGTCTGTATCTGAGGCTACGTAACCTCAGGGTTGATAGTCTGGAAGCGTAAGGTGGTAATGAGTGAGGATAATTAGGGTCGGGAAAGCATCGGTAGAAAACTATTCTTGAAAAAGTCTTCTGTACTCTTTCTAACTTATCAATATTCTTTTTCAAAAAAGGACTCCATACCGGCGACGCATACTCTAAAATCGGTAAAACATAAGTTTTGTACAATTTCACTAAAAGAGCCGGGTCATTAATGTGTATGCTTCTGAGAACTAGAAAGAGGACAGATAAAGCTTTCTTGGTTACGGAATCACTGTGGAGAGAAAACCTGAGCTGGTTGTCAACGAAAACTCCTAAATCTTTAGTGCCACTGCAATATTCCAGCTCGATGCCATCGCACATATAAGTTTGAGTAGGAGAATTACCAAGATGCATCACTTTGGTTTTAAGCGCATTTACGGGTAAATTGTATTGCTTTGACCAAAAAATCATTTTTTCTATAGAAGAAGCAATTGCAGTGTATGCTTCATGTTGTTCTTCATCCTTATAGCAGAAGTAAATTTTGATGTCGTCGGCAAAAATCTGTATTTTGATATTTGGATGGGTTTTGAGAAGTGAAGGTAATTCCGCGGTGTATGTGAGGAAGAGAAGTGGCGAAAGTATGCCGCCCTGAGGTACTCCGCTTCTGCAGGGAAACCGCCTTGAAAAGCTTGTTCCAACGCGAACAGTCATGCCTCTGTCATGGAGGTAAGATGCAAACCAGCTGAGCAATTGTCCGCGAATTCCGTAATTTTCAACCTTGAAAAGTAATTTCGAATGTTCAACTCTATCAAACGCTTTCGATAAGTCAAAAAATACAACATCCACTGATTTATTATTGTTTACAGCACTGATCCAGTCAAAAATTGTATCTGAAAGTAATGCCCCCGGGAAGGAAACCCATTTGAACGGAAGGAAGAATATTGTTTTTTTCTAACCAGTCAAGCAGTTTATCTTTGACAAGTTTTTCGAGGATTTTCCCTGCAGGAGCAGTAATACTTATAGGCCTGAAGTTTTGGAGCGCACTATTGCGTTCACACTTGGGTACTGCCGTTACTAAAGCTTCTTTCCAAAGCTTAGGCACTTCGTCGTTCATCATTGAAACATTGAATATTAGCGACAGGGGAAAAGCCAAAGCTTGGGCGCATTTGCGATAGATAATTTGAGGAATACCATCGTATGCGACAGTAGTAGAGGGACGCAATTTACTCAAAATTCCAAAAACCTTTGCAGGATCAATGCATATTTCATTACAACGAGCATTTATACGGACAATGGGAGGATGAGGTAACTTTATGCCTCTACTAGTTTCTGAATTTGTGGAAAAGGAAGCAAAAAAGTTGCCCAATGCTTCCGCTTTTTCCCTGTCATTCTTGAGTATGTTACCACTTTCATCTATCAGATCAGAAAGTTTCTGACTTCCTTTTACCTTACTCCTGAGATATGCATAGATTTCTTTGTAATTAGATCTGGAAAGGCGGCGTTCCCGATTAGCTAGAAACTTTCTGACGTGATAGTTGATGTCTTGACAAACTTTTTTTGTAGAGATGGTGATTTAGAGGATCATGCAAAGTCGAAAAAAGTCTAGTTTTCTGTTCAAGTAAATTTTTAATATGAGCAGGATATGTCCTTTCTTGAAATGGTTCAAAACGGAAAGGTACATGCTGAGAAAAAATATAGTATAGCTTTCTACAAAAGCGATAGTAGAGGTCATCAACGTTTTCGTAGTTGTCAAAAGTCACATACCAGTCAATATTCTGCAGAGACCTACTTATTTCTTTGAAATCAGCCCTACGAAAATCAGGGAACGGGGTAAAAATTTTTTTCAGTGAAAATGAAGGTAATATCAAAAGAAAGTACATTGTGGTCAGAAGAGCCAAACGGGGGAAGCGCTTGACATTTTGAACTATTTCGTGAGTTGAGAAAATCAAGTCTATGGCTGAGTTTCCTCTAGTTGGAAAAGTCACATGTTGAGTGAGGTTACCATCGCGAAGAGAGCAGAGAAAACGAGCATCGGTGAGGAGAGATTCAGAGAGGAAATTAGTATTGAAATCTCCTAGTACAACAGCTGGAGCGGACCAGCACATAAGTCGATTATACTATCAGCTAGAATAGTATCGTCGTGAATGTTGGATGAGGGGGGTCTATAAATAAGGATAAATCTAAGTGGAGAAGGAGAACAAGCTGACCAAAGATCCAAGCCAAGCATGTCCCACTTGTGCCCATCACCAGTCCTTATTCGTTTCACTGCGAAATCCTCTTTGATTAGGCAGCATACTCCCCCACCCCTACGAACAGGCCGATCGACACGATGAAGAGAATACGGAAGATTACAGGTGATTTCGGAATCAAAAATGTTGGAATTGAACCAAGTCTCGGTGATGAAGAGAATATCAGGAACGTGAAGACTCAAGAATGTGTGCAAAAGATGAACTTTGTTAACCAGATTGCGAGCGTTGAAAAGGAAACAGCGAAGATGTGCAAAAGAACCGGGCAGATTTACGCGTTTCCCTGAGTCTGACGTCTGGGTAATTCAGAGATGTGGTGCAGCTCCCCTCTATAAACTAAACATTCCCTCTGTGGTTTCGCCTTGTTCCGCTCTCTCGCAATCTGCCTTAAAGGCAGTGTCCCGGCAGATTTTGCACCTCCACCTTTTTACATTTTTTAGGCCTTTTCGCCACGTAGAATCCGAATTTGAGCTTTGAACGGGCTGAAAAGGCCGATTTTGGGGCGTTTTCCTAATTCCAGAAAAGCAGCTCGGACGAGATTTTTAATGGAAAGTTGGGATCCTCAGATAAGGTCCTCAGACGAAGACCCTGTCGCCTGTAATTCTTGCTTTGGATAGCATGCATCATGGGGGAGAGCGCTCGTGGGGTCCCGCGCCGAACAGGCGAGGAAGGCCGTCCAAGCGCGCGCCAGTTGGGGTTGCGCGCGCCGGTTCAAGGGCCATTTTCTCGGCCCAGGGGGAACATCACCCAGCCGGACTGCGCCTGGAGGTCGATGAGATGACCAGGAACCCCACCACACGTGTATCCCCCAGGACCCGAATCTGCCGGGACACTGCCTTTAATTCGTACTCCTTGGCTCGTTCCTCGGCTGTCATACTTCTTCGAACAAAAATTTTGCTGGAATCGGAGCGTCGTAAGAGGTGTGCGTTCGAAAGCGCTTGGAGTTAGAAGGAGCGGGAGGGGAAGACCACTTTTACGAGCCTTGGACGACCTACATCGTACTTCCCCATCCTATAAACCTCTGAGGGCCAGCAGTCAACTCGCAACGTTTCCAACACCTTGGCAACACCAGCTTCTAACTCGGCCTTCCGTTCCATGAGAGACTTGCTGGGGTCCGACTCTTCTAGCCCTGCTAAAACAATGCTCCTTCCCCTTTTTTCAGCCTCCACGTCTTGAGGGAGCTTATCCTTTAGTGCCAGCAACATCCTGTTGATAACCGGGTCTTTGTTCTTCTCCAAAATCGATTGAAGGAGTTCATTGGCAGACAAAGCTGTAAAGTCTTCCTGAACATCTTCATCGATGGAATTCACGCCTAGAAGAGGTTGACGTGGAACAGTAGCCTTTTT